ATAGAAACAGTGTGCACTTCCCGGCATCAGGAGACAGATGATTTGTGCTGGGATTCGTTCGTGGACAGATATAACTCTCTAAGTAAATACCGACAAACAGTGGCAGCGAAAGAAAAAGTAAGGTCAGCATAACAATGAGGCTCCCTGTTCATAAATAACCAGTTAGTAGCTGCACACATGTACTTCCATTGGGGATGTAGCAAGTTTGGTTTTTAACACGCAGCATGTAAAAAATAAAAAAAATGTAAAAATAAATAAATAAAAAACATTTTGTAACATACATACAGGCTATTGCAAGAAATAACCAGTACGTACTGGTAAACAAGATTTGTGAAAATGTTGTTAATTGTTTTTTGCCATATTTCACACCCTAGATGCCTCCTAAAGGGTTCGTAAAGGGTTAATATATATATACGTAAATAATATAATCACTATTGTTTCTTTACTTCTGAACATATTAAAAGAGAAACAGAAGTAGAATGATTTCCACAAATGAAAACGCCACCATACACTTCTACTGTAGTAGCCTACCAAAAGTCTGACAAGATTACTAGATATAATTATATGATCAGAGGAAATATATTCACAAATATTCCAGAGCTCAAACACTGGCAGGAGATTTGACTCCAACGAAAAACCATGACATCAATAATAGTTCGGTGACAACGCTCTCTGAGCGCAGCAGGGAAAAAAACGCTTTAAAAGTGTAATTTAGACTCGTAGCGGAGGTCGGTCAGTGAACTGAGAGCACAGACAAGAGAGATGTTCTATAATCCCCATAATTTACACACACAACTGTTACAAGTGACCTCCTTCCTGTGGATGAAAAGATGTTCCTATGAGACCAGAGCAGTGGTTGGAAGAGGAAGACATGTCCTCGTCCGTTGGTCTTTCCTCTTTTCTGCTGCCAATTTTTAATGGAGTGGTGAAACAAAAGTCTCCAGGACAACAGCGTTTATAAACACTGCAAAAGCATTTCATGTAACTGCGCTGCTGGAATTATTATCATCCTCGGGTGCATCTATTTCTTTACATCTGGAATCAACATTTCCTTCTGTCTGCTGCACAAAAACTTTCCCTCTCAGTCAGCTGTGGAGAGCAGTGGCTGCAGAAACACCAACAACTCTTTTTTCTAGATCTGGTTGTGATCACCTCCTGTGAGTCACACAGGGTGATGAAGTTGTTGTCATTGGTTAACAGAAGTTAAACAGCATTATTATTCATTATTAGAAAATGTATATTTTAACTACAAAAGTAACGCAGTTTAAGCACTGATTTCTGCTTTTTCTTATAGTCAACTGCTATACAAACAGCAGGGCTGCAAGTCATTTTATAATTTGTATCCAGGCTTAAACAGATTGCTGTCCAGTAATATATTTTCTAGCATGTAATGGATGTCAACATATAATAAAGCTGCAAGTTATTGACTGCAGCTGCTAAACAAACAATTCACAAAAACACAATGTGATGTTTTGAGTAAAGAACAATCAGCGAGTACATGAAATACACAGAGGGTAAATAGAGCCCACTGCACTGCAAAACAGTGTCTCCAAAAAAAATGTAATAAATAAATACATCTCCAGAAAGAAGAGGATATACAGAGGTAGGGAAATAAATAAATAAAAACAAAAACTTTCCAAGTTCTAACTGTGGCTCAATAAATGCAGCGTACGTCATGAGTTAAAGACGGAGGAGTGGCCTGACATCCAGAACAGATTTTAAGGTAGACGCACATGTCTTATGAATGAGTATTCAAGTAAGAGCAGTAGACATAATTCAAGACCTAAAGCCCATAAGTCAACACACACACACACGCACACACACAAACCTAAAGTCTCCCCTGCTATAATAAAGAAGTCTAGATACACCCTCACAGGCACACATGCAGCTTAAACAGTGCTCACCAACGGACCGGGACCCTTGGTGACATCTTGCTCCAATTTGAGGCAGGCCGTGTGATTGGCCAGCTCTTTCAAATCATAACCATCTCAGAATTTCCCCCATGGAAGAGACCACAAAATTACAAAGTATGGCAGTTGGCAAGTCAGCGAGGAAGGGAAAATGATGAGGATGTAAAAAACAACAAGTTGAGCTGGAGTCTGAGGGCTGCAATTTGGACAGACGCTGCCTCTGGGCTGGCTGGCACACAAACGTGTCTCCTCGCTGCGGAGCCTGAATCCATGCGCCGCTACGGATCAGGTACATGATACACATGCACATACATACACAACAGTCTCATTAATGGAAGGCTAACGTACTCCGACCGCAGCCCCTTCCGTTGTATTCATGTGGTAATTACAAGCTTGCCCTGAGATCACTGTGTCACAGGCTCAGGCTCAGGCAGGGACTCGTAAAGTCCTCCTCCCTCTGTAATGCACCAGGAATTAAACTGAAATGAAATTATTATAATGAACACGTACAGCAGCAACACCCACCGACTGGGAGCAAGCGTTGATTACAGCAGTGAGGTAATTATAGAAACACAGTGTGTCATGCTGTTGATCAGAGCTGCAGGGACACACAGCTCCTTCATCTGCTTCAAGTGTTTTTTCCCCTCACCGACTGCAGCAGCACAACACAGGCCCAGATGTTTGCACAAATAACAAAACAATACATTCAACCCAACAGCTGCATTCAGTTACATTTCATTTTTCACTCCTATATTTTTGGGCCCAATTTATTTCTCTTTAGACAACTTCAGACAACACTAAGTAAAAGACAAATAAATCTCTCCACACAATGACTGGAATGTTTCTACTTAACACCAAGTCTCACTGGTGTGAGAATCACCGCCACCACAGACCAGTTATGTGTGTCAAAAATGTTGGGTTTTGTTTTTTGTATGTTTGTTAAAAAATTTGGGCAATAAAGCTAAAACTACAGCAGCACATCTTGTGTTTGGTGATGAATAAAAACACATGGTGCACTGGTGGGTTCAGAAACACTGCAGAAAAAAGTCTCTCGTAACAGACTGACAAACACATAACACAAAAATAACAGTTTCCTTCAGCCATCTTCAGTTAAATATGATTCATTTTGATCTTGCAGGGGTCAACCTGTGGCTCCAGAGACCCCTGTGCTGGCCAAACAAGCCTTAGTGGCCTTCTGATGCAGATCCTCCACTCACAGCTCATTGTTATTTCACCAACATAGATAACACCAGGTGCCTTATCACCACAGTAGCCACGGACCCCCTTTGCTCAGAGACCACAGTCTGACCCAGAGGTCTGACCTGCAACTAATGACAAAGAATGTGTGGGATGCACAGACAGAAATCAATATGAACCACAGCACCGAGGAAAAGGGGCTGACGAGAAGACGTCAGTTTTAAATGTCACAGCAGGAGAACTGCATGTGGAATGTAAATCACTTTATGTGGATAAAAGAGGGGAAATTAATAAGGGACAATGAAATAGATGGTTCAGGCTGAGTAGGGGGCAGAGGCTCCCACTCTGTTCTCTTTGTGAGTGTAGCCAGAGAGATGTGGTTTAAGGTTGTGGCAAACAATTGACCTGACATTGTTTAGAGTTAACTCAGGGAATCCAGCTGTCAACCACAGCCACAGCCAATGACAACCAGGACAGATGAGCAACCAACACAATTCTGGACATAGAACAGGCAACTTTGACCACAACATATTTTTAGATGGGGCACCTTTGGCCGAGTGCATCAAAGATGATGTGGCCTTTTTTTGTTTTAAAGTATCCGTTTACTTTACTCCTAGATCTTGCCTCATGTCAAACTCCTTCAGCTAATAAGCTATTACAGTCACTGTCTGTACTTCAAAACTGGAAAAGCTCATAACATTATGGTCACACAAGACACAAAGAAATTTGTGTCTTTTGTTATTTTATATAATTTGTTCAATGAGAACAAACAGTTTTACAGCAAATATCAAACCAGTCAGTGTGAAGTACTCCGAGTGTGCATCAGGACTGACTAATTTACTATTGAGTCTGATGATATCTGGAAGGATTGGTATTTAGATTATTGTGACAAAATAAATGAATGATGCTGTTAAGATCATGAGCAGAGCAGAAAAGCACCATGAAAGAGAAGAAAAAGTGCAAAGAGGAAGCACTAAAGGAAACTCACAGGTGGGTCTTGCAAAAACCATCAGGTCAGAGCACATGTTCAACACTGGTCAGCAATATATATATATATATATATATATATATATATATATATATATATATATACAATTAGTAATCATCACATCGCCCCTCTATGGCATGGCGGGGGAATGCACTGCCAGGTGCGATACAGAAACTAAATACTAAATACTTTAAATCAGACAAACACACACACGATGAGGAAAAATGACGTAGTATGATGAAGATATACAATAGTATGAATAATTGTCAACTTAAGGCAAAAGGCAAATCCTTCTTAATAATTATAAATGGTGACTGAAACCTTGATTTTCATCGTCAAACCTTGTGGCGTTAATAGGGTGATAGGTTTAAGCGGACATCAGAAAGCCTGTACTGCCTCCTTGAGTCATTTTAGTGTGATTGCAACGTCATTTCTATCGTATGCGCAGTCTTGACTTTGCAAAATTGACATTTTTTTTAATAGTTTTCTTCAATTCAGTAAAATAAGTCACATTTTGTAAATTTTTCGAATTAATTTAAACTGAATAATTGTTAAAAACAGTTGTATCGCATGAAGTAGAGGTGTAAAATTACCATATATTTTAGTAAAATGGAGAAGGGTTTTTGGATGAATAATTCTTTGGTATCTTTGCAGTATATTTCACATGTGGACAAACATAAACATAAACAGTCTATTTTACAGCATGCACGTAACCAATAAAACGAGTATTCGTCACATGCAGCATGCGTGTTAAGTCTATAGACATCTTCAAAGAAACAAAGCAGTTGTAAATTCTATGACTCCGCACAGACAACAGAGGGCGACATTGATCCGTGTTGTTAACATGATCTCGCCCTGCATTGCAACGTCACACTTGACCATAATAAAAGCAACTCCACAGCACATTGTCTTTCTTTTTTAATAAAAGATTAATTTTCTGTGTCTTTTTTTAAACATGTTTAAGGCATCATGCACAAAAAATAAGCTAGAAGTTCTTCTTTATGCTTACCCTCTACCAATCATTGTTAACATTTGTGGATTTGTTTTGTTAAGATTGTACAAATATGGCATGTAAGCTGGCATGTCAGTGAATCTCAAAGCAGAAAGTCACCTGCTTTCACAGTTTCTGTAAACATGGCTTTGAGCAAAACAGGTCTGAGGAAAAGTAAACAATAAAATAAAATGAAAGCATGCTTCAAAGTGGGGACTGAAATTTCCCTCAAAAGCATGCAATGCATCCTAAGTCATATTTACATCGCATCATGTGCTCTCAACGGAGCAGTTTTTCTTTTGTATTGTTTTTTTTTTCAACCTTACTAATTAAAGTTAAGACATTAAAAAGTTGACATAACAGACTGACAGGAACAACAGATGGGTCCATGATGATTCCCAACCAAATCTCCGACATAGACATTGTTCCAATTGGTCCAAGAACAAAAAAAAAAGCTACAAGATTTTTTTTAAACACACCACACTGTTCACTGTTCTCAGGGTTCCCAAGCCTCTTTGGGAATATTTTAGGGATTTGTCAACAATATTTCTCTCCTTTTTCTGACTAAGCATGCAATAGTTCACCAAACAGAAAAGTCACAGGAAATCAAGGATTAAGAAGTCAGACTTTTTTTTAAAGAAATATTACAGCTGACTTTTCTTTTAATAAACTGATAGTTTCATTATCTGAATGTCAGAGACTAATGTTTAACCCATGCACATTAACTAACATTTACCAACAAATGAAACAAAAGAAACATTTTTCCTACAATCACAGGCCTTTTCTTTTCTTTTGTCCCACAAAAGATTTCAGGAACTCCCAGGAACCCTGAGGTGGAAACATTTGTAAATTTTGATGTAAAAAAAAAAAAAAAAATCTTGTAGCGTCCACCGCAGCAGACATCCAGTAGGTGCCGCTTGCTTTGGCACAGTTGTGTCCACTTGTGCTCTCCTGTGTGTTGACCCATGTATGTTATACTATATTGAAGACCATGGAAAGATACTGTTCATATGAAACCTGGATCCAGCCGTCCTGGTCTGTGTCGTACCGTCTGAACACGTCAGTCAACCTCTATGGAACAAAAAGAAAAAAAAAAAAAAGAGAAAAGAATAAAAAAACTTATATATTTATATTTAAAATTCCCTATTAACCAGTGTGGTTAATGTAATTTTAAACATTTTAAATATTAATAAACACAATCTTTAGAAAGTTAAAAAGTAGGTGCTCAAAGGAAAAATACAGTTCTATATAGTTCTTTTACTGAATAAAGACACGGCACCTGTAGTACAATACAGCACTGGATGAAGTCGTCGAAGGCCACCTGCCCCTTCCTCTGCCGGTCAAATTTCTCTATCAACGTGCTGTAGAACTGCTCTGAGAGACGATAGCCTGCACACAACAACACACACATGCTGCATATTCTGTTTACACTTTAAACAGGATATTGAACTCTAACGGTGTTAAATCAACCTTAAGTGGACTTTTGTCTAGAGTTCAGCCTGAAGTGTTTCATCAATTATACTGTATATAAATGGCTTCACAGCAATCCACACGGAGGAGCACACAGAGATATACAGTATCAAGTTGAAACAGTAGAGAGTAAAACACAGACTGAATTAAGAGTCTTCTCGTGGCATGCTGATCGGACCTTTTTCACCCAGAGAAACTACATGCAGCTACGCTGCCCTCCACCACACTCGTTGAATGTAAATATACTGTACCACCATACTTTGTGTCTCACCAAATCCAGTCAGTGCCTGTTTCAGCTCATTCCTGTCAATGAAGCCTGAGTTGTCCCTGTCGTAGTTCCTGAAGATGTTCTGCCAGTCGGTGATGTACTTCCACACACCGGCAAACTCGTTGAAGTTCACGCCACCTTTATTTTCCCTGTCAAACATGGCTGAGGGAAAAGAGATACAGAGGAGACATTTAGTCGTCCACACACACAGGCAAATCAAACAGTGTTCATCCTGACAGCGATCCGTGACATAAAACCACTGATCCACCACATATTGTTTTAAAGTGCTGTCAGAGAAGTGCTGAGTGTAAACTGTGGCTCAAAAATAGAGCCACTCTCACACTTGACTACCTGCTGTTTTCACGAGAGCTAAAACACCGAGACAGGAGGAGAAAATGGTTTGATGTCTCCCCCGTTTGGGTCAAACCAATTACCTCCCTACAAGGAACATTATCACAGGATACGCGTAATGCTACAGGAGTCTCCATGCCACACTGAGTCCATTACTGAGTGTGGCACTAGGTGGAATTAAAGGGCTGTTGTACAGAAATGCTGCAGGAAGAAAGCAGAGGTATTTTTACATAATGTATGCTGGAAACAGTCAAATGAATAAGGTGCAGAGGGTTTCCATGTACGCTTCATTTAGATTTCTCAAAGTGAACCTATAACAAATACCTGTAGTCTGTTCTCTACTTAAATTTATCAATTGCAGTCATTTTGGAAAGAAAATGTGTTTGTAAGTGCTTCCAAATCTGTGTGTTCTGTGTAATAGAATTCTACCAACAGCCGTCCAATGGATAATCTATGCAGTTTGATTATTATGTTTCAGCCAGCAGTAAATATTAAACCTAAATAATGCAGTGGGGGGGGGGTCACTAAATTATTATCCACCCATGTCAGGAGAAGTTTCCAATGGTTGTGTATGTGAAAAGAAAATCTAGGGGCCTTTATCAAAGAGTGGAAAAAACTACAACACCATTAAAATTGTGTATGGTACACTTCTAGTCATGCAGGGAGCAATTATGATGGAGAGAGAAACACAGTCAGGGGGGAAATCCAATCAATGCAGTTGAAAAGCTCCTTGTGGGACAAGAAATGACCTTCTTAGGATTATGACGTGGCAGGTTGTAAAGGTCATGTGGTCCCATGATTGTCTCTGCTCTAGATAACATTTAGATCATTTGGAGGTACACAGTGTGAATCGACTATATCAGAATGCCCACAAGATGGCACTAATGCACATAAGAACCACCTGAATATACTCAGTGACCGTTTCTGGCTACTTATATGTTTTGTCCTCCCTGATGTAGCAGCAATGAATCACATGGTTAAAATTATCTCAGAGAGCCTGACTCAGAATTTTCCTACATGAACTGAACTCAAGAGGTCAGACCTTTAACCCCACAGATAATCTTAGTAATGAGCAGGACACGACTTACCACAGAGGTTTTACTCATTAACAAAAGCTCTTCAGGTATTTTATTTACTTATGGCACAGAGGCAAATAAATCTTGTAACGTTATTGAAGCTGTGAAACAATGACAGAGTAAATGAAGGTTGAAATAGGAAACACAAGGGTGTTGTGATCCAATCTGCTGTGGTAAAGAAGCAAAATGGATTTTTAAATAAGAGTTTTCCTGAGATTTCACACTTCTCTCTTTCTTCAGTGGAGCCCTGTGTTGGCCTCTTGTCAGTGGTGACTACAAGTTTGCACCAGAACAACACTGATCCTATTGTTTTGTCTCAGCCAATAGTTTACCCAGACTTCTCTGGTTGTCATAGCGAGAATGCAAATAAACAAATTCCAGAGCCAACAAACAAAATGCAGAGACAGTGTGACTGTGAGTCGGTACTTACATATGATGGAGCGGACAGTGACTGGGTTAAAGGGAGTCCATGTGCCTGTGAGACAGAAAAATTCCAGCCAGTCATTCAATCAATGCGATCTGTTCATTATTTGTAGTAAGAACAGAGTGATGAAAACAATGTAAATATTTTATCACAATCAATGCCGACTTGGACTGAGCTTTGGAGGAAGTGCAGCAGCTTTGGCCATATATTGAACAGAAAAGTTATTTTGGTTTTTATGGCTCATTAATGAAAAACTGTGTCCTGTTACAATGACTCTGCAATGATACTTTGATATAACAGCAACAACTGGACTAACGCAAAGACAAAGAGGTCTTCAACAGGAGGTCCACCACCCCCAGGAGGCACCGCTTAAGGTTTAATAAATATGTTCTATCTTTAATGCTGTTAGGTTTTTTTTTAATCAAAATTAAACATTTACATTTTAACAAACAACATTCTACATTCAATTACCAAAAACAAATGAGTTTTACTGAGGTAATACAATTACTAAACAGCAACACAAATTATATTAATAGTAGTCTCATGTCATAAAAAGGAAATGGAGAAAAACTTCAAGAGGTTGTATTTTGGGCTGTTTTAAAGATCTATTTTCTTTCTGACACAAACAATCATTATTGTTCCCCTACTGGACAAACTGTTGTCGTCAACATGGCCAGAAAAAAGACTAATGGGCAGTAAGCTCAGCAGGCTTTTTATACTTTATAGCCTCTTTTCTTCACAACCTTAGTTGCCCACTTCACTGAGATTTATCAAGCCATCTACATCCTTGCTGACTCACTTTTTTGATTTCATTACAGAGAAGCCGCAGTTGAGGAGCAAAAATAAAGAGGAAGTGCTGTGGGTGGAGGATGCAGAGGAAGGAGTGAAAGGCTTAAAAAAAAAAAAAACTAGAGAAAGACGATATTTTCAGAGGAGGAATTAAAAAACTAAAGACAGTGGACTTAAGCAGACATAATTGACCTCAAAGTATCTGCAGATGAGTTCTTGTTGCCACGACCTGATCTCTTTGGCCTACTTCAGCTGACCTAGGATTCCTCCTCACTGCTCTGTAACATTTCATCGCTCAGCAGAGATTTTCCAACAAAGAGCGGTTTTCTTTCCTGCTCTACAGTGAGCACATTTACAACAAGGTCAATAATGATGTCCAAAGTCCATAGAAGATATACTATTTTTTTAGATGGGTGGGTCTGAGAAAGAGGGTGGGGCTGTTCAGAGACCAGATACAAGACTATAACTGTAGATAAGGTCTGGGCCAGAATCCATATTCATATAGCATTTATTGAACTGCTAAATTAACACAAAGTATTGTATTGATTTCAGCTCCTTTGCAGAATACATTCAAAGTACCAACTCCATTTGCTGATGCAATGCAGTCACTAAAGTCATTAATGCAGTCTTATTAAAAGCGTGTCTCCTGTATCAGCAGCTAACTGTACTGCTTTACAAGTTAGAATCTAGATTCTCTTTTACCAAGTTTCCACTGATTGTTGAAATGGTTGTTTATTAAAATCTAACCACGTCACAAAACATGATCTGTCCAGTGGGTAAATTCCTATTTACTGAAATAAATCCTACCAAACCTGAGTTCTGTTTTTCCAATACTTGACACTCCAGATCTATTTAATAACAGAAGCAGTTGAGCAGCGTGTTTTACCCACACTAAATTCTACCTAAAGATTCTCTGGAATCACCCGTCTCTTTTTCCCGAGGCACAGTTTCATTTATGTGACAGGCTCAGCCAGGTTATCGAATTTTTGCCACTTTAATATCACAGTTTCTGCAAGGTCTCGAATGAATTCATTTTATTGTTCATAAAAATAAATAACAACAGAACAGATTTATTTCTAAAATATTTTTTCTACAGAGAAATTTTATGTAACTGTTCACAAATTCACAGATTGCAAACTACCTAAGTGTGATGCTGTAGCCAGTTGGGCTGCGATGTTTATGTGCCTCTAAATGCAAATGTTACAAAACAGCATCTGTCCAGGCCACACATTGGACTCTCTCAAAAGAGGGAAGGAAAAAAACAGGAGGTAAGGAGAGGGGCACGCTGGTGGAAAAACAGTGACCCGACCACCACGTAAACACAAACATATTCCCGCTTGTGCCGAGGATCAGTCGGTAAGAAGCTTAACCAAACATTTATAAAATTTAAACATATACATCTGTACATGCATATAATATCCTTTATACAAACTCCACCAATACAGCTCTCAAAGTTTCACATGTGAATTCACAGACAGATACTGTTTTCTAAAGTTAGTGTGGTCTTGAAGTGTCAATGGGGAGAAAAACATATTAAAATACAAATATTTGCAGAAACATCGACAATGTCCAAACATCCAACTGGATGATTAGGTGAATTATTTACATAATTTACCTAATCTTGAAAAAAAAATCCAAATGTATGGGAAATTTACTTTATCTCGAATATGTATTTTATATGTATTTAGGAGGAGGGTGTATCCTCCTAAACCTGACTTAATGGTGACGGCCAACCAGACCAGACCAGACACTCAGCTGTGGCAGATTCAAGGGCTTTGTGTGTGTGTGTGTTGACGGGAGACACCCTGTCATTAACCTATCAACTGCAGAGCAATGAGCAGAAACATCTACATATAAAGAGAATGAGCAGCTAATAAGGCATGTTACCCCACCCTGAAAAAAATAAAGAGATGGAGGCAAGGAGCAGAAGAGAAAGAGATGAGAGAATGAGAAAGAAACAAAGAAAGTTATTATTACTGCAATAATGATGAAAATGTGTGCAATGAGAAGGTGCCAAAAATCCCCTTCCAGGGAAATATATCGAGTTCAATAAGATATAAGGAAGTCAAGATAGATGTATAGATAGATAGTTTGTTATTTGTTGTTAGTGTATGACAAAGAAAATATATGGTGCACTTTGAACTGCTTGAAAAGTGATGTAATTCTGGATGAAAAGCTCACAGACGCAGAAGAATCTAGGCATTATATGAAAGAAATCTGCTGGAAGCCGTTGGAAATAGCTCATCTACTTGGCAGCCCTTGAGCTTTTTTTTGTTGATCTTCATGTTTAGAAGAGAAACACAGAGATGGGCAACCGCAGTAAAAGCCTGAGTACAGACGAGAGCGATGAGAAGTTAAAATTGTAGTGGTCAGAATTACTGAAGCCTTTATCCTTCACTTGTCGAGCGTTTGTGTGGGTCAGCCACTCTGGCAGGTCTGGTGGCTTCAGAATGAACACTGCAGGACAGGATGCAGAACAGTGTGTTCAGCTTCACTGGCTCTGTTTCATATCGCAGTGAGCCTAATGAACTCGATGAGACAGAATCAGAAATGCGTCGTTCAGTACACGCACATTCAAACGGCGAGGTGTGTACAAACACAGGCACAATATGCAAACAACGCTGACAATTACACATAGATGCTGAAAAGTGAAAACAATTTACCCTTGGCACAGATGCAAAATGGTGAGCAGAAAACCAGTCTGTGGATGTAAACCACACATACTGACAGACTTATCAGTATTCTGAGGCTGAGCCACTGCACAGGCTGATAACAGCTTCTTTCATTGCTGCCGCTGGCTCTGACGTTTCTTTGTTTCCACTGAGGAGCCCCCTGAAATGGGATTCATTCTGCGGGGAGTAATCTGACTGAAAACCTGCCCATACTATTAAGCTGTAAACTGGATGGGAGACACATTGTATTCCAACAACGACACAAACATCATCTGCACCCGAGTTTCAGGGCAAACAGTGTTGTGAAAACAGGTAATTTCCCAAACACCATTCAATCTCATGATATCAATGGAAGGGCAAGGTCAAGACGCAGTGCTGCTGTAGTGTCGGTGCTCGGACATAAAGAACAAGATTCTCAGTACACACTACAGTCTGGAGTGAGGGCAAAGCTGACGTGACTGGTTCTGAGCAGAGGAGATGATCCGTGGGATTAATTCACTTACTGCAGAAGCACGAGTGTGGGGTTCTTTTTTCTACTTCACCAAGCCAACTGACTACTGAGCCTTTTATCCTGCTCGAGTCCTTCTCCTCAGGACGTGAAGCGACTGCAGCAGCTCAATCAAACAGCAGCTGTAGTCCTCATGTCTACTTCTGTGTCTGTTTCAAACAGATTTTTAATAACCTATTCTCCAGGGACCCCCTCTCTAAAAAACGATCAATCGGCACAATATTTTTAGGTGTTGTCTAGTCTTTCAAGCCTGCTGATGCTGTAGGTCACAGAGAGAATCATGCATGGGATATCAAAAAGAGTAACAGTTTCACAGCATTCTAAAATATTCATTGACAGATAGAAATACACTTTATAAAAAGCACTGCATCATCAAATGATATCAGATAGAAAACTTTACGTTACCATGCAAATAGAGTTTTTAATTAATTACAAGTGGCTGTGTATAAAGACGTTATGGAGATCATGTAGTTACTGTGTGGTTAATCTACAGCTTATCCAATCTTAAATTAACAGTCTGTTTAGGGTTGGCCACAATGGATAATCTGATAATATGATCTGTATTAGTTCATTTTAAAGTCAAATGTCAGACCAGATGAAACACTAGGATATGAACTAGCATCTGGAGGACAGGTTGTAGTGTGCACCTGCTCACCTTGCTGTTAAGTGTCTTGACCAAGGACACACACAGAGTAAGTGTTGTTCGTGAACAATGTAAAAACATCAGTGCCTAGAATAAAGAACACTAACAGAATAAAGAACTCCTAGAATAAAGAACACTAACAGAGTGCAAAGAGAACACAGACTAATAATACCTATGATGGAGAATGTATTGCAACACTACTGTGTTAGACTGCATCACTTTTGGAGAATCTAACAAAAAGGCCAGTTTTCTTACCATTGGATAGGGCCTGCTGAAGCTCCGAGTCTGATATTACTCCACTCCGGTCCTTGTCCACCCTGGGGAGGAAATCACAGATTAGATAACTCCTACACTTACCACATCACACATCCACACACACAATAGCAGCAGGCATCAGAACTCAGTGGCTGAAACTTTATCTTCTTAAACACGTGTTGGGGATTCAACCACCCACTGAGACTGAATGAACTTCTGTGATGTCGACACACAGGGGAGAACGAACACTCAGGTCTCCCTTGAGACCAGTCTGACAGTTCAGGTATGTGACTGTGAATGGGACCATTAAGGCTGATACAGCAAAGTGACACTGAACACAGGCACCTGTAAAAGCAGCTTTTCAGCTGTTACGAGAGTTTAAAAAGAACTTTTAATTGCAGCAAAACTCTAGTAGGTTCCAATTTTAAAGATAGAATATTGAAGGTTTGTCCTTGACAACAATGTGTGCATTAAAATGCTGCATTCTTCAAACCTCAGGGACTGAATTAAATCTTTTTTATTTACATGCCAGATATCCTGACCATATGTTAATTTGCAGCATTTTTTGTGCTGCTCTTAAAGTGGAATGATCAACTGTAAGAATCAAGACCCTGAGTGAAATTTTTCAAGACATTTGAAAAGAACAAAACTGTCATATGCAAAGTAATTGTCACAAAAGACAAACACTTGTTTTTTGAAAAACAGAACACTGTGATTATGTTTATGGAGAAATGGTAACGGAATATAATCAAAAGCAACTATCGCCACATGAATTGTGTACTGTGTGATAATCATTTACAATGCAAATATATGCAAAGATGTTTTAAAAAATCATAAGGAAACAAAAGCAAACATTTGGCTTGGGTCTCTAACTGCCTTCCAACAGGACAATAATGAAAAGCATACTTTAGAAGTGGAAATTCAAGGACTAAGCTAAGACTCAGACTATAGAACGAGCCAAAACCATTAAATTTCAAGAAGCTTGTAAGAACAGGTGACAGTCAAAGTGGAAACTATGAGTACTGTTTAGATAATAAAAAAAATATGTGACATGTGACCCTTTCAAAGAAATGAAAAAAAAAGACTCATGGGAAAAATATCTAGGGAATCTAGTTTTACGAGTTAGGTGAAAGATTACATAAATACTTTCATTTTCACTTGATTGTAGACATCAGCTGGAAACTTGATTTCAAGATACATAAAAACTGAATTCTGTCCATTGAGAAAGTCTTTTCTGCTCAATTTTATCCTCCTCAGCCATAAAGTCACTAAGAGAATGGACTGTGACACACATTGAAGGCTTCAGCAATCTGGTTTAGTCAAACATCCAATGACTCAGTTGTTCCTAAGTAACATGCTTGGCCCAGCCCATCAACACAGAGGCGACTTGGTAGACACACCCTGAATACCATCAGACAAGAAGCTGAAGAGTAGGAGACGGGAATCCCCCCACGGGAAAAAAATTGCTCACCTACAGTAGAGCTGAGTCTGTGGAAAAGGTCTGCGTCCACGGACGAGAAACTTTCTGTTAGAATAAACCTATAAACGGTTTTCAATGTTTCTATTTACATCAGATAAGGCTCTGTGTATACATCTCTTTATTTACCTTTCCACACCTACAGAAAGAAAATAAACATATGGAAACCAACTTGGTCAACGCGTTCCTGAACACATCTTTCGCTATACCTCTATAAATGAGAGCTTTGTCATGGTGTTAGGGACGAGTGGTTGGGTTAATGCAGGCAGTGGGGGCACCCAGCCTTTTACAAACACTGTCAGACCAAGTCAAAGAAGTGTAGTGTGCAAACACTGCATAGCCGAACTTCTACTTTTCACCTCTCCACTCCTTTTCCTTTCACTGATTTACAAAGTGGGCCTTTGGTTATGTTACTACTCTGGACTAAATGTTACTTAAATTATCACAAAAATAAATATTTTTAGCCTATGGTGTCATCATAAATACAAAAATTGTTTATAAAGAATCAGACTAACAAAAAAAAAAACCCACGGCTGAGTCAGTGACTCTGTCAGATTTTCCCATGTTCTGCTGTGTTCAAGAAGCAGCCAGGTTGGAACTTGCTTCTGGAACAAATGCTGCTGCTCTTTCCGCACGCTCTCTCCAAAAGTAGAGTAATGCCACCACAACTTAAGAGATGGAAATGTTTAAAAAGAAATAAGAAAAATGCATTCAGAAAACCTTCTGGATAACTGCAAATTATTCTTGGCAAGATAACAACTTGGTGCCCGCATATTTCTCATGGTGTCAGAATTATCTCGTACCAGACTCATCCAGAAGAAAATGGGCAAAAGGAGGAGACAGTAACCTTTATCATTCATTACATGGCACATTATTGAAGTAAATATATTGGGAATGTGGGGCATAAAAAAAAACACTAAAACCTACCTTACCACAGACTGTACAAACACCTGACAAAACAGTATACACAGCGAGGGCTAGTGAGTCAGAGACAGCGGGGTGTGTGATACAAAGACTGAAAAGGCTCCCACGTCAAATATGCTCTACTGACTCTAATCACATGACCAAGGGAATTCCAGCGTGGCTCTGCCAGGGTTACACCAAGTGACGGAGACTGGTGTGAAAGATGACATTGCGTGCTCATGACACTCTCAGTCAGTGTGTTGTAGGATTTGTGAGAAGTAGGGTGACAATGACGCTGCATGACATAAGAGTCTTAAGAAGTGTTGTTTGTGTGGGTGAAATGAAAAGACTATCATGTGTGAGAGAGGTTAAAAAAATATGTGCAGGAATATTCTATACATCTGACCTAATTTCACAGGGTTTTGCACCGTTCATCAATAATTCATTAAGTGTATTTCAAAGTCTCACATCGCAGGCAGTGGCGGGAAAGCAGGGGGAAAAAAGAAATCGCTGCAGTATTACATAAGTGTGGTAGTTTACTATTGTACCGGACCAAAGCATATCTTCCATTTGTGTACTTCTCTACGACCTTCTCAGGTGCTGACACGCTTCTGACTCAGCCTAAGGTGGCACTGTAATCTGTCAAAGGTGAAAATGGAAAGAAATGTCACATAGGTTATTATATATGACCTTGTTATTATAAATGAGTCTTCTTATAATAATGTCAAGGCTTACTCAGCTTTTCTAAGGTCAAACTCGGACACTTTTACAGACCATTTATGTGTTTTTTAATACCTATTTTTACACATACTTTCACACATCTACACAAAAGTTTAAATACTTTTAAATCTAAGGTTTTAATGCAATAAATAAGAAGAAACTATCGTGTTGTGCAACCTGTAATGATGACTCAATCATATGACACCTAATGTATTCAATTCATCACATGAATATTAATTACAAAATGTTGAGGGGACAACATATTGTACTCAGTTCTCATATATTATGAATTCCAGACACCCATATGTATCATATTAAAATAATAAGTATAATTTCTATTACAACTTGTAGTAGTAGTCATATAAATAGTAGTGGTAGTCGTTGTGTTTACTTAGGAAAAAAACATTCATATGTATTGCATTCAAAAGATACTAACTTGTAAACAAAACAAATATTCATGGTTCTATACAATAAAGTAGTCTAGGACTACAGTGGCTCTTTCTACTCATAACATTAAATTGATAATTAAAAATAGTGACCATTAGTTAATTGAAATAACCTTTCATTAATTGATTATGGTTGCACCTTAGGACGGTTTATAGATTGGAAATGCAAGGTTTTTTCAGACCATCTTAACTGCATTTAATCCGTCTGTCTTCAGTTAAATTGTAAATTTTGTGTTATGTTATTAAAATTTTAAAAAATAAATAAATGTACTGCAGTGAAAAAACACTGCAGCCTGGTACGTTCAAGGACTCCTGGAGGTCTGACCGACTGACCGACCCTGTTTATTACATTGACAGTGAAGTTGAGTGACACTGAGCTTCAGTCATGTAATATTGTTCTGTAACGTGATCCCCAGACGGACGTGTAACGGCTACGGTTCTGCTTCTGAGTTGACGGTATAGCAGTGTTCCAGGAAGCTCAGCTCTAACTGCTTAATCACTCCTGTCACTGCGGAGTTGTGCTCTCTGCCAGGAATATTTGTAATGAAACACACTACACTACTGTAAAAAAACACACACAAGCATAAAAATACCACTGGGACACCAACAATCACACTTTACACTTTGCCTGTTTGTTCTTTCTTAGCAGAATTTTTCAGTAAGTAACAGGAAGACAGAAACAGAGTCGCGAAACAAACACGCCTTTCTTCCCCTTTACTCACCTCTGAAAGATATTCCACAGGAAGCCTTGGTCCGGAGGCGCGTTCATGTGCATGGAAGCTCTGTATGGACTATGATACGCCATTTTAAAAGAAGACGGCCTGTCAAAAATGTTCAAGTAAATGACGGTCGGACTGCGCCTCGTCCTGCCGTAGTTTCTCTCTTCTATATGGCTGTATGTGTATGTGCTGCTGTTTTTCAATCACACTCCACCAACACCCGACCTCCAGGTTACCGCCTGCTCAGGGGCGTGGCTAATCATTCACCACTACCCTCGCGCCTATACGGAGGTGACGTCACACTTTCCTCGCGTGATTTGATTAAAAGTAGAAAAATGTCACGTCATGGCATGTTTTAGGACATTGAACGTACTTTAAATAGTGGGTCGATAATTAATAAAAACCAAAGAAGCACGTTTAAAGTTAACATACAACAACCGCATTAAACTTAAGTTAAGTTAAATTAAACTTAAACGGGTACTAAAATCCCACCTTTAAAAAAGCAACAATTAGGGTAATCAGTTATCAAATTAAAAAATGTAATAAATCTTCACCAAAAAATACATATATATATAGGAATAATATATATATATATATATATATATATATGTATATATATATATATATATATATATAATTCCTTGACCAGTAAATAAATGATTATGTTTATATAGTAGATTTGTTTTAATTGCAAGTTTTATTATTTGGCTAGTGAAAGAATAAAACATTATTTTTATATATTGTTATATAAATTGTTTTTATAATTCTTTGTTACAGAGGGAGCCATTCTGATTAGATTATCCACCCATCGTTTATCTAATGTTTAACCTTATTCAGGGTCACATGGGGTCCTTTTGGCAATCAGCACTTGTCCCCAGAAGGCGGGTCCACAAATCAAGGCAATCACACTTACACTCATATCAATGTATGTGTGTAAATTTAACCTGAGCCTCCATCTACATGCTTTTGAACTGTGGCAGGAAATCGATAACAGAAATGACCATCAGTTGGAACAGGGCTTGAACTGTGACCTTGCTGTAATGAATTAGCTGGTTACTGAACATTAATGAGTAATCTGTATTTTACTAAGTCTTTTGTTAACGATTGATTAACCTTGTTTTTTACTGTTTGCCAGTAAAAGAAGGACAATAAATGAAGATAGAGCTACTATACTGAACATTTACTGTGTTTTTATATTTGATATTGACAGTTAATAGCAGATGTGATACCCACAATTGACTTTCTTCATGATGGAATACTTTATGTCCCTATAAGACTAGGCGCTTGTCAATTTACTTCGTTTTAAGGTTAAGGTCAAACTTTATTGATTCAGTACTGGGAAAATCATTGCAGTACAGCGGCAACACAACAACAACTACATCTAGAAGAATTCAAGATAAAAAAAAAAGTCCAGTGATACCCCAACCATTTGACACTTATTGTGCATGGGCAGAATATATTGCACTTTTCAAAGAGCCTTTGATCCTCTGAAGTAAAGCTACTTGGCGATGATGGTGTCATGACAAAAGCTATAATCTGAATCTGTTTCCCTGAAAACAATAATATATAATAACATGACTTCCTCTTCTTAAGGAGACACTCTCTTCAGAGAATATTCACAAAGAAATAAACTAAAAGAGTAAACCATAGAAAAATGCAAAATCATGTGTGTCAACTGCCTTTGAACAGCTCCACAGGTGAATATGAGCCATAATAAACCATGTTACCTTTGTTATGACCAGGCTTGTGTGCTTGTGTACTGAAGGGAGGACAAAATGATTGTAGATTTTATTACAGACTCCGTTTATCAACAGTTTAATATCTACTGATTTTTCTGTTTTCCAGAGATAATTCAACACTTTGGTTTTTATTTTTCCTTGTGCTAAAATATCCTTGTGGTAGACATGGCTGAGTCTGACAGGTTGGTGCACACATGCACACACACTCACACTACCCACTCAAATACCCTCTCACTTGGCAGGGACCTGCAAAATGTTCCCATAACAATAACATTTTATATCAAATGAATAATCTAAACTTTACCCAAGTTGAAAACATTTAATTAAGTTTTCTTCTTCTATTATCTACTTTGCTATACTAAACAGTACTGTCTAACGCTTTTTCTGTTTGACAGGTTGATCTTAAATGGCCATGATAACCTGAACTCCATAGAGAGTGCTGAAGGAGCTCAGGACCCGTTCTTTGGTTTCATTAACACACACCAAAATCTCAGTCCTTTTGAAATATACGAGGTACAACAAATGTATTAGACCATAACTGAACGCGTGGCACACCATTCAATTAATGTTCGTATTATTCATATTCTGTTTTCTATTTTCTAATTTACTGATCCGCAGTCCACGCTCATGTATGAAGAGGACGGTTCACAGCACCCTCTGGTGCCGAGTCCTGAAACAACACCACAAGGTGAGTTATCTGTTAACAGCCGTTCTGAAGGGTTAATCTGTAGGTAAATCTCTTTAACATTCAGTTATCCTTGTGCTTCCATCACATTCTGTTTCATCCTTTTACTTTGTTAATGCAGATTTAACATTAAGTCCAGATTCTATCACTCTGATGGAGGAGCAGTTCATCCTCTCCAATGCTGAGGTAAACTGTTGGTTTGAATTCTGTAACGGGGAACATCACATCATATTTTTGTATATAACATGTTGACTGGGTGAAGTATGCTTTTCATTCTATGGTCTTAATGTTGGGACTAAGAAAGAACAGATAACGGATAATAAAGAAAGCTTTTATTGTCATTATTCACAGAATGTGCCTTTTGTGGTCTATACACCGTAAAATATTAAATAAATAGAAATCAAATTAAATGAGGTGAAACAAAAAGGCCGGGAAGTGGAAAGTGGGTGTAAAATTATCTCCGAGCTCCAACAGACCATAAAAAAGTGTGAGTTATAGTCTCTCCCCTGGCCCTGAAGTTAGCAGCCTCTTTATTAGATCAGAGCAATAACATTCCTCCTGAAACTTCATAAACAGACACATCGCTGTTGACTCAATGAAACCTTAATTAAATACGCCAGTCCTCATACGCTGATCATTTGTGTCTTGTGGCCCTTACTCATCCTTGAACAATTTCCACCTTTTGTTCTTAGATTTTAACCAAAATGTCTTTAATTTCTGACTCAGAGAATCTGCCCTGTGCCTCCTACAGTGTTTCGAGGGAGATGACTTACCTGAAGTCACAGCCAGAGAGATCGACCTTCTGATGCATCAACCGGACCAGTTCTACATAGGTGTGTTCACACTTGATTTTTTCAACTATTGTAGCTTTGCTGTGAGTGTTAGCAACTATTTGTTACCTGGTCTTTGTTGTTGTTTTTTTTTAACATGTTTTTGTCATGTACATGTGTGACGAACAGAGATGGAGGAACAGCAGACCAGAGACGGGACCAGGGATCTGATAGGAGAAATGTCTTTCATTGACCAGTGAGTCTTCAAGAGAATCTAATATGTGGCTAAACTTTTTGGACTAGTGAGCACTTTTAGTTGGTGTTTACCATTTATTTCAGATTTCCATTTTATTTTGTATTGACGTCCAATTTGTGTGGTATATAGTAAAAGGGGAGAAAAGTGTGACAGTAAATTACTGAATAATATTAAGGCGAATATGCACTATATATTCAGTTACATATTCAATTAAGCAAAAGTAGAACTTGCAGGACATAGACCATGACGTGGAATACATCAATGTTCTTCTACTTCTCATCAGTCTTCTTACTGAGATGAGGTGTGTCCGTCTGAAAGTGTGTTTGTTGTTTGCAGGCTGAATAGAATAGTTGCAGAAGCAGAGCAGGATGATGTGGAAGAAAGGGTGTTTTGGAAAGGAGACCATCCTGAAAAATAAAAGTGAAGATTGATTAAACTAGGTCCATACTTTTGTTTTTATAAGAATTTAATTTATTTAGCAATAACTTGTATTGTTCTCAGGTAATTTTCTCTTTTACAATTGTTTTTGTTGTATTTGTTATTATGTTTTTTTTCTCTTAATCAGAGGTCAAATGTAGATAAAAATAGCAAGCTTACAAAGAAAATCTGTGGAAAAAATGTAGCTGTAAATGTGTTTTTATTTTCCTACATATAGACTATTGTAATAGCTTGAGTTCAGGTTTATTTTAAACACCTCAAATTTTTCTTCAGCCATTTATGCTAAATAAGAGTGTCACCAAATAAAAAAATAGGATTTTGTATGTATTTTCAACAACATAAAAAAAGCCTAATTGCTACAAGTGGGATATAATGCTTATATACGGAATAAGATGGGAGAAGATTAGTTTATTTATCATTTATTTATATAAACTGTGATTGCCATATCATGTACGTTGTAAAGTTGCTATGATGTTATTTAGGTTAACTTGTTTTTTTTTTCCTTGTGTAAATTAAATGACTTTGAAATGCTGTTGACTCTGAAATGCCAATGCTGTTGGTCACATATTGTTCTTTGCCCGTATCTAAATCAGTGTAAGGTTCAGATGAAATTGTTACATTTTCTGTTTGTGAAACCAGACTGAGATGTCACACAGACATCGGACCAACAAAAACAACCAGTGGCTGTTCATACTGCAGGAACACACTCTGAGCTGAGAACTAAAGGTTGCACTGACGACAGAGGGCTGAACATTTGTTGTCTTTCCATCGACTTATCTCTTTACCATTGTTTCAGTTAATTAAACTCCAGCTCTGCCATCCTTTACTGGCTGTTTAAGCCAAAAGGATTAGTGATCCATTATTTTTACTGCCTCTTACTGCTCCTTCTGTTCATCTGCAGTGTAATTAACTCTGTGGCACCATCATTACTTCTCTGTATTTCTGTTCAAACAATGCAACACGGTTATATGATGTGTTGTTTCTCAATGTGTGGTTGGGGTTATGGTCTTCTTGTTTATTTTTTGCTCAGCTCTCCGGTGCTACCTGTTAGTCAGATATGGTACAACCTGTCACAACAAACAAGTAGTACTTCTGGCATGAATATTCTCATTTACATTCTTCACACAAGGATGTAAAATTGACTTGACTTAACCAGCAGAGGTCTCTTATGTCTCCTTTGAGTCTTTGCAGACCCATAGAACAAACTGCATTACTGCAGCAGGGAAAGAAAAACAAAAGTTGCTGATGCAGTGACGCCTGTGGAACACAGAAAGTCGAACTGAAACAAACATCTTTGAAACACTTGATGAAACACTTGATTTGTTGTGGCTTCACATGGAATGTGTTGCGTTGGGACACGGCCCCCATCGAGCAACAACAACGTGAGTTGAAGTGTCATTAGTTTTCATCTCACGGGGCCCTACCATTTACACCGAGTACATACTTTTGTGATGCTGAAATAACGGCACGTCGTGATGACCCCATAAATCAAGCTCGACTTCTCAAACATGAACATTACGTCTCATTAAACAGCCATAAATCTGCAGTGCACTTTGAAAGTGCAATAAAATGACATAGTGATGTGTCATCGTGGATTTTACTCTCGTCCTGTGACATAAATCCAGTTTTTATTATTTATTTGAAGGCTATAAGAATTAAGATCCAGTATTAATTTAATTGAGGGCAGAAATACAAATTAACTTCTGATGTCAGCCACATATCCACTCAAACACACACACACACCAACTGTCCATCACCACAGTGTAATAAACCTCACAGCTGAGCGACACATAACACACATCCTCACCAGCTGCTTATATCAGGCAGGAGGTCCAGAGCGACGTCTGTGTGAGGCGGATACTTCCCAGAAGGCTTCAACATCAGTGGGAGCAGAGCTTTGAATCATCAGACCTGAGAAGGAGAAGACGGCAGATCACTGTTGGCATCAACACGCAACGTTAATCCAGAAGGGACAGAAGTGAAGGAAAACTACACAATTTTCCATTTTGGGAATATAGGGGGGGAAAGAAAAAGTCAAGCTGGCGGCAGATGAGGAAAAGAGCTTGTTGGTGGAGGAGGAGGAGGATCAGGCCAGCAGAGGATCAGACAGTCCTGCAGACAGGGAGTCTCCTGGGCCACATGACAAGATAGTCCGTGTTAAGGTGGACTGGAACGTCCCCATGTCAGTGGTGCTGCCCATTCAGATGCAAGTCGACCTCACAAACCAGGAGTTCCCTTTCCTGGACACAACCTTGGCTGATCTGGGCATCAAAGAGTGAGTGTTTTTCAGGTGTGTGTCAGATTTAACCTCTGTCTTGAGTTGACTAAAAGATCTGACTTCTTGTGAACACAGATCTGAGGTGAAAGAGAGGGTGGTCTGGGTGGACACGAAGAAGACGCAGGTGAAGAACAAAGCAGGGAGGCTGAAGGAGAAGGAGATCACCATCCTGGAGGTACAATGGAACTAGGCATGGTAGTCACTAACATAATAAAAAACTCACTTTGATAATTGTCTTGGTCTTAGGTGAGGGTCAAAGCCCAGAAACCTGGAGATCCTGCGCTGCAGGAGGTGCTGTACAGCACCGAGGCCCACACTGACCGCTCCTTCTGCCGCACAGGGATGGACATACTGCCCTGGAAACAGAGATACACGGGTCAGTGGGAAAACTTGAATTTGAATTATTTCACACATCTGATGAAAGAGAAGGGCTCAGTCTGATGCTGTATTTATATTTTGTGTGTGTCAGCTGTCAGTCAGGGAAATACAAACATACCTTCATGAAACTATTTGATTCACTGTGACCGTGCTGCCAACATGTAGGACGGCATCATAACAGAATGCTAAATCATCAGGCTGAGGGATGACATCACCACAAACATGACAGCAGTGTCTAAATAAAACCCTGGACGTCAGCGGTCGCAGGAATCTGTGAAAACCTCACTTGCCCCGGGGTTGGATGTTTGTTTGGTTTTGACATTATATAATCACAGATGCAGCTTAATGTTGTTATTGCAGTGATTGATCGGACACTGTTCAGAGATGTCATTATTACCTCACCTCATTGTGTTTGTTTTAGAGGACAACGTCTTGTCACCAGTGAACATGACAATGGCGTTGGATGGGGGAAACAACCAGCCTGACCTGACGAAGGAGATCTGAAGAAACTAAAGAGCCAACATTCAGTTCAATGCAGACAGGGAATACTTTAACTTTAAACTGACATGCAGTGTTTGTGTGAATGGCTTAGTGTGTTGTTGCCTTCTGGCATGGTCAACCATTTGTAAAAAGGGAGGATGCCCCGAACAGCAAAAAAAAAATTGTAAACATCAGCTTGACAAAGACCAAAATTATTAACAGAAATATAATTCTTTGTTGTCTTTTAAATGTGTTTTGGTGGAGCTGAGGATTTTAACATGACATTTCCAAACATTTCAACTTTATTCCTATTGTACACTTTTTACCTTAACACTAAAGCATTGTTTCTCAACTAAAATACATAATATCCAAAAAAATATATATTTAAAGCTTCCATATATAAAGCCTACATGTTCTAAAAGGTAACTCAACAATTCCCCAGCTCCATGTAAAACCCTATTGGAAAAAAATAAAAATAATAATTAGTCATTTTATCAGCATTATCATTTTCAAGCAAATGCTGTTCACACAAAGACACACAATGACAAAAACAAAAAAACATACTTTACCTGTACCATTTTTAAACAAAAAAATAATTTTGTGATTTTTACTTCACAGTATTTTAATTAATTAATCTTAATAAAGTTGCATTTAAATACATGCTGTCCTTCACATGTTGACATAGTGTTCTGCGGTTGGATGATTTAATGAAAAATTAAATCATCTTTGGAGATTTGTATCAGGGGTTCGTCTGTATTAAATTATTACTCAAGAGTCCTGAAAGATTTTGGACACACACAAGTAATATTGCATCTATACACATAAATCAGTTTTCTACTCAAGTCTCAGGGCACATTTGTGCCAAATTCCATAAAGGTGAATCATGTGAACAGGCAGGAGGGGCAGCAGACAGAAGCCATCATTCCTCTCTGGTGGTTCACAGACTTCAAACAGCATCATCTTCACCGTAATGTTTGCTGTGGATTTAATATATCAGAAAATAAAGGAATAATAACTTTTTTTCTGGAGATCAAATTTATTACCTCATATTTCATAGCAAAATCAGAGCTCTGTCCAAATATTTGTAAAGAGGGGATCTCATCAGTGTGTAGGAATGACAGGGAATCAAGAGTAAAACAAAGCTAACAACAAACAGCCCGGGGGAAAAAATATACGGCTGAATATGACAACACTTCATAAGGACCTGCCAATACAGGAATAAATTAACTGCAAAATGTAATAATACTATAGTAGTGCTGTGCTGATGAAAATAGTTTTTGGTAGGGGTGGGGATGACTAAGCATGAGAGTGTTCTGCTATATCTGTATACATTAAAAATAGGATTTTTAATAGGAAAGGATCAGCTGATTCTTCTCTGTGTTCAAACATTTCAACTATAGTCAATACTAACGTCTCCAAATCCTCTGATAATCACTCACTTAACTCACAGACTTCAGTGTAATCAGCACAAGGGAGTGAAGCTAAAAGATGGCTGAACTTGGTGTTGGAGAAAGGATGACTTCTACTAAGAATAAAGAGTATTTCCCACCCCTACCTATGTTTAAGGTCACCATGACTGACAACAGTCCCATTTTTCCTCCAACAATAATAAAGTGTATATCTGAAATTTGGCTATGAGGCAGACATGGCTGTGCTGAGTTTGGCCTGCTGCTCTCCACTGAGTGACATCACGGACGCCTGGAAATCTGCTGAGTGGCTCTGAGCGAACTCCCTCATCAGCATGACCGTGGTCCTCTGAGTTTCTGTGGAGAAAAAGGAAAATCATCAAATTCATTTCATTTGGGAAGTAAAATGTTTCACATGCTGCACACAAACAACAGCCTCTGAAGTCCAAAGAGGCTCAACCTGGGTCTCTACCTTCATCAACGTCTTTGTGGCCCAGGATGTGTGTGGAAGCGGCAACTATGGGCTTCATGAGTTTCACAGTCTGACAATGAAAAGAACAGAACTTTGACATTACATCAGCACCACCGTTAGATTAGCATTTTATATTTAACCTGAATTTCTCTTTGTGTTTTGTCTGTTGTTGCCTTGTGTTTTAGTTTCATTCTGAACACATTAGACTGTCTATATGAGTATGTCAATGTCTAGTCTCTACACTGCTCATCTGAGCTGGTGTCCAGCTGTGTTCTGTACCAAAGCAGGACTGTGTGTGTAGAGCCTGGCCAGGCAGTTGAACACTGTTTTGTTTTCCTCCATGTCTTCTTTAAGGGGAAGCCGAGCTACGAGAGCAGGGACGACCTGTGTCACAGAGAAAAGGGTCAAGATGGGACATCGACACTTATTACAGAAATCTTTAATATTTTCTGTTAAACTTGACATTGTTTGGTTTCCTTTCATTTAAAAGAACACAAAATTTAAATGTAAAAATGCAGCATGAACTTACCTGCTCTAGGGGAACAGCATCTATGTTACCCGTAATCATCCTGCAGAGGGCACCACACAGGTTGTCAATCACTGACAGGTCTGTCTCTTTGGCCAGCAGGTTAGAAAACACAGATAGCATCATAGGATAATCTCTGGGAAACAATTGGTTAAGGAAAATCTTTTGCTTGAACACTTGACAACATTTTTTTTGTTTGCTTCAGTGCACAAAAAGACAATTTTGCATCGAGCAGGATACGATACGACGATAGGTCCAGCAGCCTCGGCCAGGCAGCCCAGTCCAAACACGCTGTTGTTGCGAACCTCAGCGTCTCTGTCCTTCACTCCAGCAACCAGAACAGGAAGTAAACGGTTGGACAATCGTCCGGCCAGTCCTCTTCCGCCAGGTACGCTCACCAGAGCTTGAAGGATTTCTCCGATTGTTCCCAAAGAGAAGGAGCGTTCAGCTTCTGTGCATGATGTTTTCTTATTAAATAGAAAAACATGAATTTTAATCTGGTAAACAAAGACCAAAAACTGCCCCTGCTCTATATGGGATTTTTTTTCAAGAGACTTACAGCTTTGCTCATGATGAGAGGCAGCAGGTCATTGAGGAAAGGAGCAAAGCTGTCTGCAGGGACAGAGGCGGCCAACAGGGGGATTCCTTCTCCTGCATACTCCTGCAGCATAGCATCGTACTCAGCCTGGAACAAACCAAAATTACAAGAAATTATTACGAGTTACAGGGCCATTATATCACTAACACTTAATTTAACTTAAGTTATTTTCAGAATAAAAGTCTTGTCTTGATAAATGAAAACATGTTTTGTTGTTACAAATTCAATATGCAGAATCCAAATTATCACAAATGATAACACAAGTTGATATAATGTGAAAGTGTATTTACTAACCTGTTGTTCTTCATCGTCAGCATCATCACCACCATCCTGACAAACCATCTGAACAGAGAGGAGGAAATGAGAAAAATATTAGAGGAGGAAATCAGAGGAGATAGCATCACTGGGTGAATGATGTTTCCACCTTATCCCTCATCTGTGCTTCACCTTTTTCTTGAGAAGGTCCCGGATGACAAAGCAGACCTCTTTGAGGCGCGTAGGATTTTTAAAAACCTCCCCCTTGCAGGACTTGATGACGTTGTTCATAGATTCCACGATGGCCATGGCCACCTCACGCTCAGGCTCTGTCCGCACCGTTTCCAAAAGTACCGGCATCACCAGTTCCAGCAACTTCATCAGAGCTGAGTAAGGATGAGAGGCAAGGATGTCAGCCAGAGTGGAGTGCAAAAGGCATGAAGTCATACATCTATTTGGTTTGCTAGTTAGCTAGCACCAACATTTAACAGATGATCAAGAGACAAAGTTTTACCGTGGTGGTTTGACTCGGTCTGATTCTCCTTCCACACTTTGTGCTGAGCACGACAGAACTGACCCATGGCACTGAACGCTGCCCGGCGAACATCCTCGTGAGGATACTAAGAAAACAGAATCACAGAATCAAGTCAGACCACAAGGGATAAAGTGACAAAGGACAAACATGATCACAGAACTTCATGACAAGGGTATGGTAATCTGTCACAAGTGGACAGATTATTTTACTGGTACGGTAAATACAAATTGTATTACATTTTAAGGAAATTGATTTAAAAAAGATTTGAAGAAGACAGTTATATTGAGGACAAATGCATCCTACTGTAAAGCATTATGCACCCAGACATTAGTTTGGGCACAGAACATAGATGAACAATCAGGCCAATCAACTCACATCTCTCATCTCATAAACTTCCTGGAAACTGGACTCCAGGAATTCCTGAAATGCAATGCTGTCGACAGAAACCAAACAACAAATGATGAGATTACATATAAAATGCTGTGAGAAGTGATAGAGCAGCTAAAGTTATGGTAATGTTTTTTAGCAATTTGGTTGTCGGAGTAAGTAGTAGTAATAACAGGTCTTTTACATAAATGGAAGAGGTTTTTTTAATGTGAAAGAAATGTGTACCCCGTGTTGAAGGCAATTTCTCCCAGTGCATCACAGGCGTCCTCCTTCTCATCAATGTAGGCATTCTCAACACTGAACCTGAGAGAAGATAGATATTTGTGTCAAATGTAAAGGTACATTTCTGACATCTTTTTGGTGATACAGGAAGCTGAGCAGTGACTAATATGGACACAATTAACAAAATCTATATTGGATAAAAAACAAGAAATGTCAGAAGTTGGTGAACAAAGAATGATGGGTGCATTAACCTTGTACATTTGGCTTTGGCTGACAAATAAGTTAATCTTATCAGGAATAAATTTTCTTTTCACTAGTCAAAAGCATGTGTTAGCTGAAAATCCAGTTAATCTTCAATGGATGTATTTTGAACCCAAATAAACGTTTTAATCAGCATCAGTGTACGTTAATCTTTCTGATTATTACCCAGTGATATCCTCAACATCTGGCTTAGGTTCATCATCTGTAAAGTCATCTATATCCTTTTCATCTGTTTCTTCATTCTCTTCCTCATCATCCAGCAGCACAAATGTTTTGTCCTCCTCGAGATGTGGCTGAACAAAGTGTAGGATCAAAAGTTAGATACACCTTCACTTTACACCTTGAATCTGAGGGCATGGAGTATTGGTTTTGTACCGTGATGCCCTCATTAGATTTGAGGGCGTGCAGCATGACTGTTGTTATAGCAGTAAGGTGAGGGGTCAGGCACTCAGGGCTGACTGTGGAGATGGCCGAATAGAGACAGTACCTGCAGGAGGCAGAAAAAGGAGGGAAACGTAATAATTAACAACTGGAGGAGAGAGAGAACATAATAAATCCTTTTGTTATTGTTATGTTGAACTGAAAGGACATCACACCCAGTTACCCATTGGTAAATGGTGATTAGCTGGACTAACTGAAGTTGCCAAAAAAGCATTCAATACTAATTTGTAGCTACATACGTGCATCGTCGTAAATCAGGGTCATCGATAGTGTCTGTGAGGTTGAGGCCCAGTTGAACGCACTCTGCAGCCAGTGGACTGAAGACATCTTTCCCAATGGTACGGGCCAGAACAGAGAGTGTGTCTGAGAACAACAAAACAATAGGTTAGTGATGTCATTATGTGAATAAATCAAAGTGAGATTTGGAAATCAGATGAACATCTGTTTGTTAACCTACCCAGTGACTGAGTTTGCAGTGACCTCATTTCTTCTGCAGTAGCAGTCAGGAAGCCCTTTAGACTTTCAATGATCGGAGGGAAATAAGGAACTAGAAGCTCTTTGGCAGCATTGGCTGAGAAGAAAAAAGGAGCCTCGATGAGTCAGGAGCAGAATATTTTACTCCATCAACTATAGTTTTTAAAGCTCAGAAACAGAGTGGATGAAGTGCGATGTACGAGTATTACATTGACTATAACTGTAAATGTAACTATCTAATAACAACAACAGTTGTCTTTGACGTCTTACCAATGGCACCTATGGCAGACACAGCCAGCTCCCTGATCTTGAAGTTTTCTGTGTTGTTCAGGGCAGAAAACATGGTTTCCATCAGAGTGGGCAGGTAGGGTTCAATATCTGAGCCTATGAAGAGAAAAAAAAAAAAACAAGAAAACCATGTACTGTTTAGTAGTGGTCACCGGTTCAAGAGCTTTCCTGTCACAGTAAACAAGATTTCCTACTTCAGTCATTTATGATGATTAGTCTACCGTACCTAGGTTCTCCATGAAGTTCTCCAGGGCATAGAAGGCCTTGGTAATGTGACCAACCTTGGCGTCATTCAAGGATGAAAGGTATCCCAACAGTAAAGGCATCAACTCTGAACAGTACTTGCTTACTTCAGGCTTAAAATAATACAAAAAAACATTTTAGCATTCTATAGTGTATTGTAGTGGTGCTGAGCTGGTATTAATCAAACAATCACTGAATCTGGCGTGTATAGTAAGTGAGTGTTTTTTTCTGAGCTACCTGTAAGTGTTCAGAGAACTGTCCCAGGGCAAAAAGGCCGGCACACCTCACCACCTGATTACTGTCTGACAGACTCTGGCAAACCGCTTGCAGCATCGGTGACAACATCCTGACAGACAGAGCCACACATTACTAAGTAAGAAAAATACTGTGTATACTTGTCACTGTCAAAATAAATATTGCATAAAAATGACAGCTAAACACACTTGGTGCGTATGTGGTCGGCACATCCTTCTGCCAGGACAGCAAGACACAAGAGACCCCCCTTCCGCTGATATGGGTTTTCACTGGCCAGACAGGCTTGAGTGAGAGGCATCTGGTCAAATAAATGTAGAATGTCAGGAAGCAGTCATACAGCACTGTTTATTTAACAGGCATCAAACGGCATTTGAATGCAAAATAAAAGAGCTTATGATAATTACGGAAAAATGATTATTTATTAATGACTCTCTGTTACTCTGTTTTCAGGTAGATTCTTACCAGTTGTTGGAATAGTTTCTCTGGAGGCATATGGAGAGCCATAGTGTCAATAACCTAAATGATTGAAAAATATTTTTTTGTGATTACTTATGATTCATGTAGTAACTGAACAACATTGATACTACTAAATTTCCCTCTCTGTACCTGTGCGGCACATTGTTTGGGATTGTCACTGTCTGGGTCTTCTCCATCAGCATCTTCATCATCCTCTGGGTCCTGTTCACCAGGCGGAGGAGCAGCTGTCAGGATGGGGAAAATGGCTTGAAGGATTGGATTCAGCAACTTCTCCTTCAGCAACGCCTGTGCAGCAGAAGAGTCAAAAATTTAACACTCGAACAAACAGCTGGTTTTCTGGTCAAAATGTAAAAAAAAACATTTAAATGGCTAATAGTAGAAAGCAGTGACTTTACCTTACTCTTCAGCTTGACTAAGAAGGTGATACATGAGAGAGCCTTCACTCGCAAAGAGTCGCTGTGTGTGGTGTCTATGCCCACCTGATCCCAAAGACACAAACATCACAGATTAAACATTATTGATTTGTTAGCGTTAAACCCAAGAGGGAAGACATTTGGCTCCTACCTCTAAACAGAAGCGAACAATCTCGGCCACATGGGGGACGATGATTGACACCTCACATTCTATGAGCTCGTTCAACACCTCCATGGCTTCACTGGCTTTGTCCTAAATCAATGTAGACAAAATCAGTATAACCAAACCACAGTATATTTATGATCTTATATTCACTCAGCCTGCGTCTGTAATTGGTCACCATACTGGTTACATTGAAATCTGTTTAATGTTCATAGAGCACAATGTATTTTAAGTAAACAAAGGTGTGTCTCGTGGTAGGTCCGACTCTCACTCTGACTGTCTCTTACCCTGCAATACACTCAACTATACAGAACAAAACACACTTAACACGGAGCAATACACTTGGCCTCAACATCAACTGTGACCTGACCTGATGACCCGCGTACACGTCAACATACGCCTGAAGGACAGAAAAAAATAGCAACAATCACATTCTAATCAGGTCTCCTTTCATGCATGCAATATAGCACATTTCCAGGCACTTCGCAATTATGAAGAATCAACACTAATTTTAAATTACCTGATCTGCTTTGATAAGGTGTTTCAGGGCAGTGATCAGACTTGGGATGATCGCTCGCATTGGGTTCTAAAGGGCAGCAAAATGCATAATATTTACATAAACCACTATCCTTTATTCTGAAACAGCATTTGTTGATGTTGACACAATAACAAAAAAAACCTCACCATCTCCTCTGTGCCAGAGTATGCTGTGATGGTGGTGATGGAGAGGATGCAGTAGTAAAGTGCGGTCGGGTTGCTCAGGTCGCGCAGTACAGTGCTGAACAGCTGCAGCAGCTGGCAGTAGTGAGGCTTGGAAGGCTGCAGTACGGAAGACAACCAATGGGTCATTCGGGCCAACCTGTCAGGACAGTGACAAAGACGGTGTAACACAATATCACAGGTGTCTGGTTGCTTTGTATTATTTTCATACATGCTGTTCTCTGGTTGTTGCACAGATCTTGTGCACCAATGGTATATAAAAGATTGTTTTAAATTTTGGTTTATATATGTGCCTTTTTTGATGCAGTACTACTGTCGGACAGCAGGGGTGAGCTTAAAAAATGTTGACAATAATTCAAAATTAAAATTGTGTAATGTTCAGTCAATGTATTCTTGCATTGAAAAATTGTTGTAATTTAACTTAATTTTAACTTTAACAAATTATATTTGTTACGTTTTGGGAATACCAAACCAGGTGGTTAGCTGTTTTTCTAAAAGTCAGCATTATCATAGAGAACAACGAGACATGGCTTGACATCTACAACCGAGCTGGCTTCAAAAATGGCAGCTGACCACCAGTGGGGCAGTTGGGGTTTGGTCTTGTACCTGTCTCTCTTGGGGGTTTGTGCTCTTGGTTGCATCATTGAGGAACTGCAGCAGAGCAGGCCATCGCTCTGGTGTCTCATGTTTGACCAACATAGCACACAGCTGGGAGAGCGAGTGCTGCACTGTGTGCCTATACCATGAAAGATGAAAAACGAAACATTTATATTTTGTAATGTAAATTAGAAAGCACAAAATTTATTTTATACTTTTCGACAAAAAAAAGAACATCTTTGGCAAGGCCTCGTTAATTTTAACAGGTTTTCATTCAAGTTTTGAAGTTTGATTTCAAAGGTGTTCATTTTCTTGAACCCGATCAAATAAAATTTAACACAGCTGTACACTTGACAGCAATAAACTGACACACCTTGTCAGTGTGTGGGACGCCTGAGTGACGTGTCTGCTGACACCTTTTTAAAGTTATAATATTTGACACTTGTGCTTTTGATAACACATAAAAAAGCAGAAAATATGAAGAAAAAAACTTTTGTGTTATAAAAGGAGAACAACTTACTCTGTTTCCTGCACAAAGGCCTGCAACACCACCGCTTTGAGGCTGCAAGGGCAAGCAAGCAGGCAATAAAATTACAAATTGTTTTGAAACTGACTTAAGCTAAAGTATAATACATAATGTCTGTGACATGTGGGTGGGTGACAAACCTCTCTCTGTCATTAGGCATGATCTTACTCCACTGTTTCTTCACTCTCATCCTCAGTATCACTGCGGCTGACTGACGGATCTAAGAATTTTTTTTTTTAAAGATTAGTCTATGGTAAAAATAGTTGATTAATTATTCAGGCATTTTTAGTATTTTTTTTATTATTTTTTAAATACCTGCTGGTTTTGGGAGCCAGTCATGACAGCACACAGGGCTGGAATAATAGCTGGTTGTTTGAAAGCCTGTTTTAGCTGCTCAGTGGCCTAGAAAAGGGGCAAGGGAGACTATACACAATTAGGACAAAGCAAAAGCAGCAAGGTATAAAAACCATGAGCCATACACAACAGTCCTGGCAGCTTTACCATCCTTAACAGAACTGTTTCAATTAATAACATTAGTCAAATAATGTACACTTCCAACAGGAAGCTAACATATATTTAACAATCTGTGTTCCTGTATTACTCATACATAAACACTTTTACTTTGTGACTACATATTCATTGTGTTTGAATGTGACTTCAGAAGCCAAGTATCTTGGAAGAAGCAGCTGGCACTAGGATATTTTAAAGCATGGAATCTGCACCCTTTGAAATCTTTGGGCACCTGCTGAAAAAAATGATTAAGAAGCAGCAGCTAAATGGGCCTCTTTCCAATATTAATAAACAGTGACAATGTTTAGAAAAAAGGGGGAATATGTGTCACAAAGTATATATGAATATGAAGAATATGTTTACTTAACATCAAAATAAGTCAAATTAATTATATGTATTGGGTTAAAAATGTAGGCACCACCTACAGGTATTAATATATTAATACCTAGAGCTCGGCTAACATTCATTATCATAAAATAACTGTTATTCCCATTTACTTTTTGTATTTTTACCTCGATTAAGTATAGCAAAACGACTATACTTAAGTCATTTTGTATAAATTGTCACTAAAACTGACAATTTAGTGTCAGTTAGACACTAAGAAAGATGTAGTTTGTCAATTGACATTTAAGTTGAAAACAGTTAAGTAGCGTCCCACCTGCTGGATGACAGCGTTGTCGGGCTCTGTCAGCTGCAGCAGAAATCGCTCCAGTTCTTCTGTCATGTCGCTGTTTCAGATGTTTTCCTTCCGAAAATATGATAATAATATTCCTTCTGAACCTGGACTAAACGGACCACAACGGAGAGCCAAAACTAGCTAGGCGTACGTGTATTGACATGTAAACAGTAGCTCTGTGGGCAAATTAAAGCGGGAGATACCGCGTAGGAAGTAAAAATAATAAACTTTAATAAAACTTATGTCAGAGTTTTGTGAAGTTTTCAAGCAGAGGAGAGAGTGCACAGACAGCAGCTCGGGTTGCTGGTGCTGGTGCTTCAGCTGTCAGCACGAGGGAACGAGCCTTGGCCCGACACACAGAAACGTGTGAGAGGTGTTAAAGGGACCGGCACGTCTAACTCCGTTAGTGTGATGGAAACGAACAGCGCCCCCAATAGAACAGGAGGCCACTGTGCAGTTTGACTTTTAATACTTTGAACTAAGGATGTTGATGTTTTGTTGTCAATGGGTAGTTTACTCTCTATTTCCTCTTCATCATCATCATGATCACCTGCTCTTACGTCTTGAGATTTAAAAAATGACGAGTATTATCCTTTTGTTTCAGGATCAAAGTCAGAGTCAAACACTCTTCACAAAGAGATTAGGTGATAGAAGTATGATTTAGAATTGCCTTTATTGTTGTTGTGAAATTTTGTAAATGTATTCCTCTTCTGTGTGGATGGTAATATGTAGGGAATTTTCTCACACTTAAAAATATGGAAAATAATATTATTACATTATAAACCTTGAACAAAACTTTGGAAATGGGATTAAACTAAAACACATTTATCGTTAAATATATTGTAAATGCGAAAGTTAAGACACTTGGTATCATATAATTAAATGAGGAAACTTTAACTTTTTTGTAAATGATTGGCATGTTAATTTCAGTTTAATCAAGCTGTTAAGATGCAAACATTTTGCATCGGGCTGTGTCACCTACAACAACTATATGAAAACAAGACAACCTCACATTACCTTTTAACAGAGCCAATGAAGCAGCTGATGGTGTAGTTGGTTGCTTGTGTTTATACTAGGTGACATTAGATACACACTTCATTCTCACGATGGAAAGAGTAGTCATGTGGCTCATTGATTTCAAAGTAATAGGATATTTTATATCCGTCTAAGTCTCCTGACTGCAGTAATAAATTGTTCATCAAGATGCAGCTCACAAGGGAAACAATGTTGTGTAGAGAACAGGATTGTAATCACTTGGCAAAAAAGAAATCAGTAATACATTGTCTTGTGCTGCAGTTAAACACAAGGGAATTCTTCCTACTGTAACACTACAGCTGAATCAGCTGAGATTGAACCAAAGACATTGTGACTCGAAGTCCTGAGCCTGCGCTTTTTTGCGCAGGCAGGTTTGAAGTTGGTCACATAAATGTCACATAAAGTCACATAAATGTTTCAGTAGTCCGACGAAGCCAAAGATGAGTGGGAGTAATGGCTTGATTTTCTACATACGGAATGTGGTTCTGCGATGGAGCACCCCACGACCTTACAAAGTAATAAGCAGTGGATAATGGATGGAGGGATAGTTATACAAATTGATATACAGTAAATATTTGACAGAAGATTTGGATCTCTCTAAAACACACACCGCACAGACAAACCAAAATACAAACAAAGGCGTGTAGGGTTATCAGTAGAACATGCCAGTGCGTGGTGCTCCATCCACCACATTTGCAATTCTTTTTTTGTAAAGTTGAATTAGAGGAGCCTGCCTCCACGTTTAACTGCATTCTTGAGTCTATTGTTGTAATCATAACACATTTGGCATTGAATGGATGTGAGAATGGTGGGTCTAATGGGGGCATTAGCATTTTCACTCATCTGTGGCTGGTAGAGGCCAGTTTGTGTGTTCTGTATGAACAGGTGTGAAGTTCTGTAGATGTGGACTGTTGTGAGGCTTGATTCTTAAAACACCAGCTGGATTATTTTGTATCCCATAGCCCTGTGCACCAATATGTCACTGAAATGTTGTCAGAGAAATTGACAAATGAATATGTCCTTTACACAGAGTAAGAGGAGGTAAAGTGTAATTCCTCAAACCACTCACACACAACTCATTGTTTTAATTTACACAAATACACCAGTAGTGTAACTGTGTCAACTCTGTTTTTCCACCTCATTTATGTCAACCAAATAGAAGGGTTTGTTTAGACTTGAACTGGGTTTAAACGCTTAACGTTGCACTGAGAAAAGGTAGAAAATGGTCATTTTAAAAACATTGTCGGTCATTGTTTTTCTTTTTTTTCTTTATCATCTGAAAGCAGGTCAGTCAGTCGGTAAAACGTGTTTTTGTAAAGCGTGAGGACATCAGGATCTCCTTTGTTGTCAACCTGTTCTTCAATGGCCTACTTATCTTCTCAATAAAGATGTCAGGACCCACCCTTTGCCAAATGACCTTTACTTGCCCCATATACTTAACTTTGGTTGACAAACATTGTTTTTTACTCAATATTTTAGTCCACCAAGTAAAAAGTAAGATTGGGGTTGGAACAGAACAAACACATACTATATTGTATTTTATTATGACTATGAAGTAGTTCTTTTAAAATACAAATATTTAAATACCACACTTTTTGGCAAAAAGAAAAGAACAATTCAAAGTTAAAACAACAAACATACTAAGATCCTTGTAAGTTGACAAACGCTACAAAGATGTGGTGCTAATCACCTACAACACTACATGTGTCTGATCTTTACTCACAATTAATAAAAAAAGTCATCTGTTTGAATTGTTCCATGGTATGTTTATAAACCAGGTGTATTACTAAAAAATAAACTATGTATCAGAAAATCAGGTATCAAACTAAGCAATGAAATATATAAAACCACAACAAAATTAAAGTAACAAAAATATATAGAATACTGTTAGAACTGCATATAGTACAAACACATGAATAATGATTAAAATGTACACATTTTGCTATTGGTCGAACCTTGAATTTCAATTTTGAAAACGTGATAGCCAATAAAATGTTGCAGCCTGTGGCGATTGGTTAAACCCACCCAGCTTCCCACCTTGTTGCCCACACCCACACGAGTCTCTATAAACAGGGTGGACCGAAGCGCATCCCACCAGTACCTGAGGGCCCTTTTCAATGGATGTAGTGTCATGTGACTTCCACCGCGTTAATTTGATTTGGATAAAGTAGTGTACCGTTTTGATCTTGTTTTGTAAGATTAGCTTTGTGTGATTTAAAAAAAAAACCAACATTTTATTAAAAAAACTTCGTTTACTCAACCAACATGACGGACTGGAAGACACAAATAAGCTACAGCTACAACCCATCCTACCATGCATATGCATACGGCCTGATGTACCAGCCGGGGCCTGATCAGAATCATGGGAACCAGCTGGGCTGCTGGAGCGAGGCCGCGGTCACGGACATGAGCAGTTACAACCCTGGGGTCACGCAGGCCTACTGTGTCACCGCCGACAGGAGTCGGGAGGAGTCTCCACCAGGTAGCCCCGAGCAGCACGCCGTCAGTGGGCACCTCCACTACCAAGGCTCTGGGCTGGTTTATTTAGGAGACACGCAGGCGAGCCGTGTTGTTCTGCCCAGACCACACCGGACTGCAGCCTACAGCGCCCAGGATAACGAGGTCGGCAGGGCCCGCAGTGATTCAACAAGTGACTCGGAGTCGCACACCTCACCAGGTATGACTTGCTGTCTACCGAGTCGAGAGGAGAAGCTTTACGATGACATGCATTCGCAGAGATTGCACTAGAGACATTGAATATACGTTCACCATACTCGGTGTCTATATTTAAATACATGTTTATTTCGTTACTAATAATTGACTGGAACGTCTATGGACAGGACTCGGTGTCTATATTTAAATACATGTTGCAAGTGTTGCTTGTTGCTTTTTTTTTTTTTTTGTCAATTGTATTCATCAACTGCACGGACTTGTGCTTCATAGATTCATGGAGTTCAGGCAGCAACAGCAGCAGAGATGGCAATGTACCCAACACGCAGCCTCACATCTGGATAAAAAAAGAACTGAACTGCGAGGAGTATGGCAATAAGAGCCCCGTCATCAATGGAGACGTTCCCACCGTACTCCCCAAGGAAACTGAGAAGTTGGAGGTGTGTGAGAGTCCCGACAATGTCACTACTCTGCAGCATGCACCTGTGGCTGCCCCCAATAAGTCAAGCACTACAACTACTGCCCCCAAAGCTAAGGCCCGTGCAGCCTTCTCGGAGAGTCAGATGAATGCCCTTGTCCAGCGCTTCAGTGTTCAGCGATACCTCACTCCTGCTGAGATGAAGAATCTGGCAGAAATGACGGGATTGACCTACAAACAGGTTTGTAGCTGAGATGTGCGTTTCCACATTACATCACGTGCCGTTCAAACAAGCGTGTGTGCTGATCATTCCTGATCTTTTTTTATTAGGTGAAGACTTGGTTTCAGAATCGGAGGATGAAGCTGAGGAGACACCAGAAGGATAACAGTTGGGTGTCCGAGCGATACACCCTGAACAAAGACGGCCCCGTCCATGGAAATGTGTACTCCAACATCCCTCCTCATATGCCACCTGTAAGCTCAGTCTAATTGTCACCATGTACTATTCAGAAATGCCATTTACTTGAAAGTTAATTTTAAATTCTATATTTGCCACCACAGATGTCATTAAAGTTTTAACACGTGTGTCTTTTTGTTCTTCCAGTACCGGGGGGAGCCTCAGGTCCAATACAAAGAGCACTACAACCAGCACATGATGGAGCAGGCCTTCAAGAAGGCAGCTCCACAGAACCTGGCCTTCTACCTGGCCATGGGCAATGCTGCTGGGTCTGCTGGATATCGCTCCTGGCCAGCTGCAGCCGCCGTCTCCTCCCAGACACCAGTGCACAGCAGAGCTCCGACGAGCAGCTGGTCCATGGCTCCCGGTGTCGGTCATTATGACTACAACCCCAATGCATTCCACTCGGCCGTGACACACAACACAGGGCACGACACAAGCTTTGAAAACAAAGAGGAGCTCGTTAGCACCTGAAGACCACGGCTGTTTGTTTATCACCAAGCTTTTATTAAGTGTTGTGTTGTGTTCAAGCTTTTCTGTAAATATGTTTCGAGTTTCCTTTTGTTAACAATGCAAGGGGTTTGCCAAATGTGTTGTACATGTGCCTTGTTCATACGCCGACACTTTTATGAAGTTTTATTTTTATACACAACTATTTAATGTTTGTTGGTGTGTTCTGTGAGCAAAGTGATACTAGATGGTTCCACATTTTTGATTCAATCCTGGTATATTTTTTTATTTTTTGAAGATACTTTATGAGAGAATAGAGAAACGATGTGCGCACACTTCAACATGTTTTTGCTCTAAATACAATTGCTTCACCAATTTAAAATCTTTGTCTTTGTCTCTTCAGTTTTTTGTTGTGGACACAACAGTAGGATATACATTTAAAAAAAAGCCAGTTATTAGCTACCCTTAGATCTGAAAGTAAAACAAAACTTTTAACATGGGAAAGCTGTGTATTTTGGGGTACAATCTTGTTTTTGTCAGTGACAAACGTCAGTACTAATGAAAGAGAAATCCTAGCACTTCCAGAACAAGGTGACAGGTTTGGTCTGTGATATTGCAAATTCTCCAAAATCGACGCCTTGTTCTCATCTGCCCTATAGAAAGCTGTATTTGTAATGAAATGCTCCCAAACAACTAAAGGAGTTTGCTAAGATTTACAAAGAAACAGTATTTGGTGACCTGATCTCAGTGTGTTTTGTTTGAAAGGACAATTAAATGCGGTAAGCTCAGTACAAAAGTGACAATTTGTGTTTCATTTTTGTGCCAGTTATGGGCTAAAGAAAACCACAGGGCAAGTGTTTTAGAGAATTTTTGTATTTATAAAAAGCACTTCATTGAAAAGATATTTACAGTACAACTAAACAAAAACATAAAGTAACTATACTCCCCTCAGCAACTCTGCAGCAGCTGTAATCCAGCTATGTTTTTTACTCACTTTCACCCATATACATTTGAAAAAAAAATAAAGCAGTCAGGAGGAAGAGCCCAAAAAGCAGAGACACTATGAAACTGGAAGGTAAGGCTAACAATTTCTTTTAGTTAAAGTGAGTAGGAAAGGGATTTGATACATTGTTACTAATTGAGTCATTTTTGTTCAAATGAAAGTGCAATCACAGCAGTATATTTCGCTGAGATCAGATTGCCAGGCGTGCTTTGGAACGGTTTACACTTTCATCTTGAAGGGTCCAATGAAAGCTGTTGAAGTAGAGGCATCATTAATGCAACTAATTGTTTATGAGTGTCATCACACTGAACAGTACTGCAGCAGATTAAGAATCTATCAAGTCCTCTCAGACCCTAACGCCAGAGCTGGTGATGTCATTGCACGGCAAAACAATTTTATCAACTAAATATTGAGCACAGTCCTCCAAAAGGCTATGCCCAGCTCAACAATATTCCCTTTGTCCACGAAATGAAAAAAAAGCATGACAAAACACTTAAATTATCTGCTTCCTAATAATCAAAATAAAAAAGCCCATTAACCCTGTAACAAGCCTCTGTTTCTGTATGATCGAAAGAACAGGAGAGGACAAAGATGTGTGTCAAAAGTGTGCAAAGTTGTGTCGTGGTCCACATCCAGTGCCATGTCAGTCCATTTTGAGGCTTTGGTAGATGTATCGAATAAACGCCAGCGACGACCAGAAAGACACGCTGCCCAGCATCAGCGAGAAGACGAGCGCCGTCAGCAGAGAGTAGCCAAAGAACTCTGTACTTTGGACCAGGCCGCTCATCGACGACCGATTTCGGTAGTAAAAAACAGAGTAGACAAAGATAAAGAGGCCGGTGGAGCCCGTGCTCAGCACGCTCCTCCACCACCAGCGGTAGTCCTCGCCTGACAGCAGGAAGTAAGTAAGAGCCACGGAGATGCAAGCACCCACGGAGAGGAGGATGGCGAAGACGCACAGCAGGATGCCATAGAGAGTGTAGTGCTCTCTGCCCCAAACTGTGGCAAAAATGTAGTACAACTCCACCGAGATGGCACTGAGGAGGAAGTGGAAGAGAACAAGTCAGATTTATCACAATTAATCACGATCAATCAAGATAAACGAAAACTAGTGGCTAATGGAAAAGTGCAGACCTACCTGAATGGCAGGAAGCCTCCAATGGCCATGTGCACGGCCGTGTGCTTGTACCAGGGCTGTGGTGGGATTTGTCGGGCGATGTTGCGAGTTCGGCACGGAGCCTGAAAGTGCCCGGCCCGGTTTTTTCCCACAATGCCCCCAATGACTGTGAGCGGGAAGCCCACGAGGATCCATGTGCCCAGTAGGAGGAGCACAGTGGTGGCGGGCAGAGCCTGAGTGGAGCCGCTGAACCAGTGGACGGAGTTCACCACGCTCCATGTCAGGAAGAGGGGTGCTGTGAGGGGAAAAAAAAGGAGATTTTTGAGGATGCTTGGAAACATTTAAAAAATTTAAGGACAAAATAAGCTTTGTGGCGCTTTACTGATAAATAAGTATTACTGCAAATAATATTCTCTACCTGCTCCTGGGTGAACTCACAGGTGGATGCAGGTTCAAACCCTGTTCCTTTCAGACTCACCAGAGAAGAGGGAGGAGGTGAGGATGATATTCCACACCCAGTGCTGGCCGTTGATTTTGGTGTAGAAGCTGCAGGAGACGTAGCCGGAAACACAGCTGGTCAGAGCGTACAGGACGATCGCCGCTGAGTTGATAGCACCGTGGCGGTGCACATTGAACATTCCTAACAACGCCATCAAAATGATACCTTTGGCAAAACAGAGTTAGTGGGTTAGAATCTTTTGTTATCCCAGTGTTCATCAGTGGCTTTTCTGTAATGAATCATTGTAAATAAAATGGAATCAAAGTAAATGTCTCTAATGTCAATTGTTCTGACTGGAGAGTGAGTGTGCGTTGGTTTGAGTGTTCACCTGTCGCCAGGGTCAGAAACTGAGCCCCTACTCCGAGCACAGCACACAGGAGGCTCTTGTAAGGAGGAAACCTGAAGACGTCAGTGTGTATGATCTTCCAGCCGTTTTCTCCCTGGTCCAGGTCGTCACAGCTGCCCTCCTCGTCCATATTGTATCTGCAGGTGAAGGATGACACACAGACACAGATGTTGGTTGACCACTGTACACTGCAGTGTAAATAGATTACACACCACTAACTTAGCTTACACTTATGATGAATCACCAAAATTTACTGACCTGGCAAAGTCATTTTTCAGTACACGCATGAGGATGATGATGACGAAGCCCAGCAGCAGCACCACCAGCACCAAAGAGTTAATGATGGACAGCCAGTGGATCTCCAGCGTTTTGGGGAAAAACGAGTAGTCCCTGAGACGCTCGGCTCGCCGCATGTGAGTCAGAGGGGACTCGTACCAGCGCACGCTGTAGGTGTGCGTAACAGTCAGAATTCCTCCCCCTATACCGACACCGCCCACTGCAGCACCTGCACCTTCTTCAAGGGGTACAGGCTTGACATCTTTGACGGAGACATTAGCGAAAATCACAGAGTCTCCATTGAACTCGATGTTGAAGTCCAGGTGAGTCCACAATCCCACCTGGTCAGTGCCAGAGGAAAAAAAAAGGCAGCTATCAACTGCAGATTGATCCACTTTCACCAGAGCTTTGCAATTAAACCCACTATTTTTGCTTTTCTCACAAAAATATTACTCTTACTGCATGATGCAGTAGTTAAACAATCTCTACCTTGTGGCTATGAGGTAGAAAGCCACTCTCTTCGATGTATCCAACAAACCCCCAGATTGGAATGTCATCCAGGACAAATTCAAAGTAGTACAGCTCCTCAATGGCTTCTCGGAGCTGGTCCACCTTAACCAATAAAGGAGCATAATAAAGAATTAGCTTTGTTGCTCGCTATACTACAACTACATACACATTTCTCCTCTTCGTCAAACCAACCAGTGGGGCGGAGTTTCAGGAGAATGTAAATATTAAACATTTTATTTGATTATACAGACCTGTTTCTCCGACAGAGTCAGCTGACACAGAGTCTTCTTCTCCACATTCTCTTTAAAGCGGATTTGATACAAGGACTCAGCCATTCTGTCACCGTCCAGCACTTCTCCCAGACTCAGAGATTTGTGATGCACCTAAGGAAGGAGCATTCATTAAAAAAAGACAGAATTCACAAAAACAGTATCAAGCATTAGCTGACATTAGTTTGAAAAATGGTCCAGTCATACTGCAAAACTCATTCATGTATCCTGCATGTAATGACAGCCAGGAGACATGCATTGTAACAGGGTTCAGACTGACCTTCTCTGGCCTGCACACTGGTAGGGTGTAGAAGTGATACGTCTCCTGGGGATTATGATAAGGGCCCACTTTGTTCACAAATAAAGTTACGTTATCCCCCTGCTTATAGCCCAGGACAGAGCGTGAGAGCAAACCCAGGACGATGAGGCAGCAGAGGCCCATTGTCGTCGGGCAGCCACCCCACAGGTGTCTCAGTCCACACGGCATGACTCCAGCTGCGAAAAAGACAGTTGGGCACTATTATTATAACAATTTTCAACAGTTACATTATTCCTCTAGTTACACGGCCAGATTTTACTGTTCTATTTTCACAGGTGAAACAGACAGACTAATTGGTGCCTACTTAAGCTGATCTTGATGAAACACGGGCATTTGAATTAAATACAGACTGTGTCTATATCAAACTACCTCTGTATCAGGTGAACTGTGTTGAATTTCAGAAAAGGGGAAGTGTTAGACAACTCACAATCTCCTGTTACTCTCCAGTGTAGTAGCGTAGCTCTGGTGCTACAACTCAGAAGACTTAGTTACGTTATTCTGACAAACTGATAAAGCTGATAAAATTGTCCTGTTTTGTTTCCTATTCTGGAGCAGTGAACACGTGTGCAGAAAAACCAGTTGGATAAACGACTGCACCCTCACGTAGTCCAGGACAATACAACAGCTAAACAAAAGCCAATAGGAGAGAAACATATATGGCAGTTTTTTCTAAACCAATTTAGATAAATCTAACTGTGCGTGAGGCTTCATGAAGGTAACATTATTCTCAGTGGAGTCTTTTCTCAAGTGACTGAATGCTGCATGCAGACAAAAGAATGTATATTATTTGAGGAAAAACCTTGTGAAGCATGTCCTGGGGCCTGAGACAAGAGTCATGATTGCACTTAGACAATAACGAGTGAAGACACAAAACAGGGAAAGAACTAAACCTGCAAACGTTGTGCGATTTGTTTGGTAAAGTTATCAGCCCAAGCTTCAAATAACTGAAGGTGTGTATAAATGTCAAACTACAAGGCTTATAAGCTAACCAAACAAAAACACAAAAAGGATTAAAAATTGATTAATGGATTAATGTTGGAAATATTGAAGGATTGTAATGTCTCGTTTGCTAGGCCTCTTTTAATAAAACACCATGAGAATTTTCATTATACTTGAAGGTGAACCAATGTTTACTTGCAGCCTTATTTGGCCACGTCAATTATTGACATCTATATCTACATCTGTTAATGTCAAATTAAGGCTTGGGTACAGGTGACATCTTTAAAACACAGCTTCCAGTATCGGACATGGCAATGGCCCCGTCCATTGACAGCAAATCAGTGTAATCCAGGAATAAAACTGCAGAGACTTAGTGTTTTTCAAAATATTGGTGTGTTTTAGGTGAACAAACTCATTTCATAACATTTTGTTCAGGTCTTTGTCAAGACTGCGTGAATTAAAATTTGCACTTTAAAATACAATTAAAAGACAACTAACATTATCTCATGATGCGATCATCATCAAAATCGTTAGAAAAATGCGTTTCGGTGTCGGGTTAAACTAAGAAAACATTAGCTTCATATGAGCATCATTTCCAAATCTGTTTTCCAAATATAATCTCTTGACGAACATCTCTTGTTCGTCTTTAATAAGTGTCTCTATCTAAAAAGTTTTGGAAACTTTGGACTAATGACGGTGTCAAAAATGACTTCCCGTTTACAGCAAGAGCAGTGTTTGGAACAGGAGCAGAAAGTCCTATACAATTGCATCATTGCTTCTGCTTTAAAATATTGATTATGTGTTCGTATTTAAATGCATTAAAATAGAATTGGCATTAAGTGATTGAAATTTGCACTACCGGTCTTACCGAGCTGTCACGTCAGTCCGGATGTCGCAGATCCGACTAGACCCGTCCGTCCGGCGGATAACTCTGACTCTAGGCCCGGAAAATCTCGCTCTGCTCCGGTGTGCACCAATATTGGAGCTCAACTTGATGATTTACAGTGGAACATATCACTGAGCTTCGCTTCCAGTGGTAGATAAAGTCATTGGATCCATATTCATGTACAGTGGATACTTTTATTGACACATGAGGCAGAGGAAAAGCAGCAGAGGTTCGACTCCACGTCACCTTAAAAAACAAAAAATAACGACGAGTGCTGTCGGTCTTCCGGAGTGGGCGGAGACAAAAACAACCGAGCACACCTCCAACGCTGCCTGTCATTTACAGCCGGTAATGACATAAAGTCACAAAGTATTAAGATATTATGCAGACTGTTTTAGCTGCAACACAGAAAACTCCCCATTGGGATATTCTACATAGCACTACCCGAGCGACACTGTTGTGTTACTGTAGTGACCGGATATCCTTAGGCAGAACGAACCAATCAGCGACTCTCCTTGACTTTCTTCGTTTTCTGTAGACTAGTAAATCGAAACGGCACCATCGATGTACGGCCAGTCACTCTGTCGAGCTTGAAAAATATACTTGTAATGCCTTCTATTTGATTTCGCGCGAAACAGGCGCAGTTCCTCCCGCCAGAGTCAGAGAGAGCGAGAGACAGCCGTGGACTAACTGCAGAACAACAGCTAAGAGGTGATTCAGCCAACACTGACCAAACATCACAAAAAGAAACACTTTTTGTACGGCTACTGTCAGGCAGGACTTCCACATAAGACCTCATGTGTTTGTGTTTTTATCCGGGTTATCTGCGGACTGTTTCATCGGTATTTTCCTCAAAAGCGCGACAGAGTTAGCAGCTAAACATGACAATTGTCATACAAAATAAAAAACAACTGCACGCCGGACCATTATTATTGCATTTATTACATTATTATATTGCAGTTATTATCTAAACTTTGCCCTAACACAGCCTGCTCTGAGCAAATGTTTTCAGAACACAGTTCACTGCACGGTTAACCAAACCGGTAACATTTAAGTCAATGTCTTTTCAGAACTCGTACCAGAATGGGAATTCACGGGCTTGCCAAGCTGATTGCTGACCAATCTCCTGGTGCCATTAAAGAACAGGATATTAAGAACTACTTTGGTACATGTTTTTTGTAAATAGACATTACGTTGAGTGAATGGGATTATTTTGTGATAAAAAGAGATCTCGAGCTGTAGTCTTTGTGGTTATAGTGGTGTATTGTTGAAATTGTCACATTTGACATCACTAAGAACATTCCCAAATCTCACCATGAATTCCAGGCAGGAAAATAGCTATTGATGCCTCCATGTGCATCTACCAGTTCCTGATTGCTGTGCGACAGGATGGAAATGTTCTGCAGAATGAAGATGGAGAGACAACAAGGTGCGACTCACAACCTTCTATATCCATGCCAGTCACAATAACACAGCCACTGATTTCCTCCTCTAAAAGCAGTGGGCCCACAGTGCTAAAATAGTCTTTCATACATGTTTATCTCTGCAGTCATCTTATGGGAATGTTCTACCGAACCATCCGTATGCTGGAACATGGCATCAAACCTGTGTATGTGTTTGATGGCAAACCACCACAGCTTAAGTCAGCAGAGGTAAGTGAGGATTTCACCTGAATCTTACCTGGTTTAAAACTAAAGATATTTCAATACAGTACAAAGTGACCCAATGGTTTTCTGGTCTAACCACACCCACAGCTGGAGAAGAGAGGAGAGAGGAGGGCAGAGGCTGAAAAGCAGCTCGCTCAAGCTCAGGAAATGGGTAATTTTAATGATTTTTTTTATAAACAGTATTTACAGTCATGGCTGGTTGAAGTTGACATTAAACCCATAATTTGATTTGATGTAATTAATGATGTGATACTTTAACAGGGGAACAGGAGAACATTGACAAATTTAGCAAGCGTCTCGTGAAAGTCACCAGACACCACAATGATGAGTGCAAGAAGCTGCTGACCCTGATGGGAGTGCCTTACATTGAGGTTAGTTCAACGTTTGATGACCTTCATTTTTCTATGTCTTTTCCCCACTCACTACGGTACAACATGCTTTAAAGGAAGGATGGTAAAGATGTGCTGCTAAAACTAAAATCACAGTTTTTTTTCTCATTAGGAATCTTTCAGTTATGAAACAGTGATTATGCTATAGTGATGAGCAGAACAATTTAATACACCTCTAACGTCTGCGTGTTCTGTGCTGCAGGCTCCGTGTGAGGCAGAGGCCAGCTGTGCTGCTCTGGTCAAAGCTGGCAAGGTCTTTGCCACAGCAACAGAGGACATGGACGGACTGACGTTTGGGACAAACATTCTGCTCAGACACCTGACGGCCAGTGAAGCCAAGTAAGATCTTTTTGGACCCAGAAGTCTTAATTATATTCCTGATGATGCATAAAAAATATCTTTTTTCTTTTTCCAGGAAACTGCCTATCCAAGAATTCCACTTCAGTCGTGTCCTGCAGGACATCGGTCTGACCAAAGAACAGGTAACATACTGTCAAGTCTTTTTAAGCCTTTTTAATCTAACTTTTATTCTAACTATATTGTTGTTTTAATATGGAAATTTCCCACTGGGAAAACACTGTAACAACAGTCGTTTAAGTTACACCAGGATTGACACATGCCTCTTTTTTTTTCTTTTTTTTCTTTTCATCCTAGTTCATTGACCTCTGCATCCTGCTGGGCTGCGACTACTGCGGAACCATAAGGGGCATTGGTCCAAAGAGAGCAATCGACCTAATCCGACAGCACGGCAGCATCGAGGAGATCCTGGAAAACATTGACCTGAACGTCAGTTGATATTTGATACAGTCTTGTCATTGTAGCCCAGTAATAGGAGACTGGTTCCGATTTAAATTTGTTTGACATTACATGACACGCAGAAACACCCAGTTCCAGAGGACTGGCTGTACAGAGAGGCCAGGGGTTTGTTCTTAGAGCCAGAGGTGGTGGACTGTTCCACGTTGGAGCTGAAGTGGACAGAACCAGACGAGGAGGCACTGATACAGTTCATGTGTAACGAAAAACAGTTCAGGTAAAAAGACCTTTTGAGACATGAAGGAAAACTGTTGTATGAGTTCATGTTTTCTGTCTTTTTTTGCTCATTTGTTTAATTTGGGAGAAGATATTTTCTGACCTGTTTTACTGTCTGCCCAGTGAGGACAGGATTCGAAACGGTTGCAAGAAGATGGTAAAGAGTCGGCAGGGCAGCACACAGGGACGACTAGACTCTTTCTTCTCCGTCACCGGATCCCTGTCCTCAAAACGCAAGGTTTGTCTGTGAAAACAATAGGTTTCAAAGAGGGGGGATTAAATGACAGGGCTGTTTAACATTTAACAAAACAAATCCATGTTAGTCTGGTTTCCTCTGTTCTGTTATCCCTTTCTTTTCTGACTGTTAAAAGTTAAGACCCCAATAAAGAATACTTTCCATGTTGATGCTGTTGTGATGAAGTTTTCCAGTTCTTACCTGAAGAGAAAACTCACTTGGATCTGTTTTGTGTCATTCAGGAGCCTGAGGTCAAGGGGTCGGCAAAGAAAAAGCAGAAGACTGGACCCACACCGAGCAAGTTTAAGAAAGTTAGATAGATATGGAGTGGGAAGCTGTTGAATAAATCTAATAAATAATGAATAACCCAAATATTGAGCGTCTGTGAAGGCAGGAGGAAGCTCGAGAATTGTTTTTACTTTTACTTCAGGAGAAATGTCACACGATGAAACAGGGTGGCAAAAGTACAGTTTTTAATGTGTTTAAGGTGTGTTTTGTTCTATGAAATAAAGTTAAGATTTTTTTTACTAAAACTTTACATTTCTTTTATTTTTAACTTTTAAAATTACTTTACTACATATCTTTTATTTTAGATAACAATCAATTATGTTAAGAATTTGTGCTCTAATGCAGAAAAATCAGAGTAATTAAGCCACAAACCTTTTGGTTTATGATGGCTAAAAGCTCACTATGAAATATTCAACCACTGATCAACCTAAGATGAAATAAGATAAAGATGAACTCAAGAAGATTTTTCAAAACATTTGGATTATTAGATTGAATTGTTAATAAAGTCTATTAGTGTCCAGCATAATAGCAAAAAGCCAAATTATAATAACATTTATAAATGTTATTGTTTATTTTAAATACATATGACAAGTTTGTAGATTAATTTCTCTGGATTCTAGTAAACTCTGACTCAGTTAAGGGCCTTAATTGTTCCTGGAGGAGTCCCTGCCTATGTGGTGGTATGAAAGTTTTCTCCCTGTCCCTCCTTTTAATAAAATCGGAAGTGCGATTGCAGGGAAGATGCAAAGCATCGGATGCTGAGGGGAGCTGCAGGTTAAAGCAAATGAATCATTCCCTCTGTGTCGTCGAGGTGTTTGGCTCTCTTTGTCTTCTCGCCGAGGCGGTCGTCTGCTGCATGATGGTAAGTACAGAGTGATGTCTGTCAGAGAACGTCTGTACTGTGGTGCCATTGTTATATCAGTGAATGGAGTAAAGAAGGTGTAAAGTTGAATTACAATTGACTGAAAGCATGATGTTTTTAGTACAAGGCAGTAGTGGGTCAAACCGCTTTGAATGTTTCCAAGATTTTAGTGACGTTAACAAATTGTCAGTGAATGATGACGGCAGTAAAAGATTATTTTAATTTGACTGAAAACATATGAATCTGTCAGTGTGAGATGTGAGTGTGGCCCAAACTAACACATGGCCCACCCACATTACCTATCCCCGAACTTTCCTATGCAAACAGCATGCAAATATTATTACAGGAAACCAGGCCAATGACAATCGTTAACCCTTGCCTGGTCTCATAGCTATGAGGTAATCCTAAATCCTATTCCTAGATTGAAGACATAAATGATTTATTCTTTGTATCGTTTTCATTTTTAGTGAATTGGTGTATAGTCGGCGTCTACATGACTTGTCAACCTGTCCATCATCAGTGCAAACAAGAATCTCTCACCTCAGTTACAAACGCCAGTAGTTTTGCTCTGTACTATACTCACATACTTCTCTGCCGTTCCTGTCATACTATACCATGTCATACCATGTCAGTGGGACTCTCTTGTATGGTCTCAATTCTTCCAAATATCACCGTGTCAAAAATATAATTCATTTTCCATAGTTTTGTGTTGTTGTTCTCCTCATTTTTCCGTTGCAGCACTTTGTAAAAGCTTCTGGGTTTAATGTATAGGTTTTAGCACATGCCTGGATTGTCAACACGGCCTCCTTTATTGTGGAGATCGGGGGGCTGGCCACAGTCTTTTTAGGTGATCCAAGCCACTGAAGTTAACATGACGGTTTAACAGTCAGCCCATGTTTCCTGGGGACATGAAACGTGTACAACAGCCCAGAGAATGAACCTCCAGTTAGAACAGGCACTCTTCACTGAGGCTCTAAAACCCAGGGAAGGCAAATGGTCGTTATCTGTTTCTAACAGTGAGTCAAGCCATAGGTAAATGTGACAGCAGATGACAGAGTCAGTCGTGGGAAGTGTTGCTTAGTGGGATGATGGCAGAGTCACGTGGAATTAAAAGGTAGGACTTTCAGATTTCTTTTTTGCAAAATAAAAACACTTAAAATAACAATGAATAAAATTCAATTCAATGTACTCCACATGTCAATTATAAATATATTTTTAACTTTGGAACTTTTTATGTACTTTCCAAACCAACACTGCATATCTTGTATGTACTGTATTGGAAGTACTTACTACTTTAACTGCCTCAACACTAGTTCTGTCGTAAACAATGTTGTAGTCAGCCTCAGGGCAATAACTTTAGCTGGCTTTTTAGGCTTAACAGTGTACAATTAAGTACTAAATACACAGTAAAACTTTCACAGAAACTTCTTTACACACATTATCCTCGTATTATTTTTACATTTAAAAATAAATAATATGGATCATTTACATGACATTAATTCATGTTATCAGTTTTATTTTTTACAATAAGCAGTAGTTATACTTTTATATACTTAAAGTAGAAAATTATTTATTAATTTGTATGGATTGGCACCCTTTAAATTGATGATTGACAATTCAGCAGCTGTCCTTTCATTTTCCTGAGCCTTATAAGGACTATATGTCTGATGACTGTTACAAAATAATAATAATGATTCAAACACCATTACACCACAGTGGACTTCACTAACCAGTGATCCTTTAAGCTGCACTTACAGCCCCTGGACATATGGACCTATAATAATGAGTCATATTTACCTGGCAAATACATGTCATCTCCATTTCTGAACAATGCAGTGCAGTTTGCATAGACAGTGACAGATGTGATTATTATACCTGCCTGGCAGCAGATGTAGAACAAATGGCTACGAACAACAGTAGGATTATGACTGTCAGTAAAAAAGTGAGTAGATCATTTTACCACAGCCTGGTTAAATTGTATTTGTTTCTTTAATTTGATACCTTGGTTTTTAAATTAAAATGACAAGATTATTTGTCAAACCACTCACGCAGACTGATTGACAATCATGTTGGGTTTTTTTTCTGTGAGCAGTGATTATTAAATCTAAAATGTTGTCCTATCACCAGTGTGATGGACGTACTTAACCTTTGGAAAGATGACCCTGAGGAGATTCTCTTGGAACTGGGGTTCGGCTGCGATGAGCCTGACTTGTCTGGACGCATTCCAGCCCGCTTCATCAATTACAAGTCGCAGGCCAGAGGAATCAACCTGCAGGTGTTTCTGGACGCCCAGAGGAATCGGATTGACCTGGAGAACCCAGATGTTAGTAGTAAGTGTTAGCACCGTTTCATACTCCATATGACTTCCCTTTTGCTGTTTGAATAATCTGAGCAGATTTGAGAGGAATCATACCTTGTCATTTTTTCCATCCTCCACCAGACCGTTTCAGACAAGTTGAGGTTCTCCAGCAGGTAACCACAACATTACGAGGCTTGGTGATCTCTTCCACTCCATCCTCTCTTAGAGCACCATCAGAAAAAATGCTGTCTCCTGAAGCCTGGGAAAGAAGGAGGCGAATGGCCAGTTTGTTTAGACGGGCAACAAAAAAGTCCCTCAACCAAAACCACGCCTATAAAACCCAGGACATAACCTCACCTGCTCCTGTCACTTCTGACTCTGTTACACCCGAGTTACCACAACATGCAGCCAGCCCTGAAAATGAGAAAATTAAGTGTCTGAGTCCTGTAACAGATGAAAGAGAGAACAATCCTAAGTTTACAATCCAGCCTCATCCAGACCAAAATCAACAACTCAGACCTGGCCCCCTGGGAGAGGACGTCTCCCCTGTTAAAGCCAGTGCTTCGGTCAAGAGAAAAAGTCTGGCGAACGGCGCTCCACCAGACTCAGAAAAGGCAAGTTATGAAGTGACTTATAGCGAGTGGGTTTGTCTGAAGGGCATGTGCTACAAATGTAGTTTCCAGAAAAGTCTTTATGCTTTTTTATGCTCATGTTTGAAGTTTTACACAGAAATCATGTTTTTTTATTTCTGTCCAATCACAGAGAAGTGTAATGTCAGAGTCTTCACCTTCTGGTCAAAGGGACTTCTCACCCCACCTCACTTCTACAACTCTGGACCATTTGTGTGTTGATGACTCATCTTCCTATTCTGACAAACCACCTTCACCTGCTCTAGAGTCTGAACCCCCAACACAATATATTGTTCTCCGTTCTTCATCGCCTGAATTACAGGACAATTCTGAATACCAGCTCCCACCCTCTTCCTCTCCAACAGATTTTCTCTCTCAATCTTCCCCTGTGATGTCTTCCACACCATCTGACTCCTCCAATAGGAGTCCAGCAAACCCACAATCAAAAAATGCAATCCCGATTCTGCCTGAAAATCCCCTCAGACTACCTGGTACACCATTAACTCCGATTTCCACCCCCACACGTCCACCTCCACCTGCCTCTCTGGACTTACACTGTACAAACCCTCACCTCTCCTCCTATGGATCAGAATCCCTCTCACAGAGTTCAGAAAACCAGAAAACCTCAGACCCCCATGACTTTAGTCTTTTAGAAAATCACAACAATTCAACCCAGCAGCTGAGTAAGGACATTTCAATTCCAACCGCTCCTGTTTCAAAATCGTCCAAGTGTGACAATGACTGTCAGGGTCTGTACTTCTGTTCTAATGCAACTCACTCAGCGAACAGATCAAACTCCCCGTTTGCTGTGGACTCCTCCACGTCTGATAGTGTTCTCCCCACTCGACCCAACAGTCCGGCCCACCAGAACCACCCGAACACATGTATCTGTTCATCTCCAGCTTCTCCTGCTTTGGATGATCCCATTCTGTCCAGCCTTTCTGATGACACTGTGCTGTCCGATGGATCAGACCTCATAGAACCACCCACAAATCCACCCTTCAAGCTGGATGATGAAATTCCATCTGAACCTTACTGTCCCTCGCTGGGCCCCTCTAACTTAGAAGATAATGGTTCCATACTTTCCTGTCTGTCTTATGGAAAGGTCTTGTTGGGATTGGGCCTCACTGATAATCCCACTGATCCCTCTTTAAAGCTCGACAGGAACCTTTCATTTGCTCCCACCACTAATATTTCAAAAGACTGTCCCCACCTTTCTAACGGAAGTGTTAACTCTTTAGAATCAAGTCTAATGAAAAAACCTATCAATCCCTATTTTCAGCTGGACAAGGACAGTCCTTCAGCTACATCCGCTCCTGGTCTGGACTCCTATAGTAGCCCAATTCTGTCCTGTCCTTTTCCTGAGACCTCGGGTCCAGTTTGTCCTCATGTGGCTGAGAAAAATAATTCAGACCCGAGAGAGGAATCCAGGTACAACAAGGACCAATCGTGTTTGCTCAGAGATGACCTTGATCCAACTCCGTCTTCTGTTCTAGATGATGATGATGATGAACAGGTAGATTGGCTGATCATAGAGCCTGTAAATACCAGAGAAAGCCATGGAGAAGCTGTTTGTTTTTCAGATATAAATCATTCTTCAAGTGTGTGTGAAACAACAGAAACAGACACATTGGTTATCTCCTTGTGCCTACGTGATGAGGCAGAGGCCGACCACAGACAAACGGAAGAAATCAATGACACAAGCAGCCAATCAGGAGAGGTAAATGAACTACCAATGATATGCAGCAGAACTGATGTAACAGGTATGGAAAGTCTAGATGTCGTTTTTGACACCTCAGTAGACGGCTTCGAAAGTGAAAATGGCGATATGGATGATTTTTTTCAGCAGCTTGACAATGAAGGGCGGGTGTACTGGGCAGAACCCATCCTAGTTTCTGATTCTTCCTATACGCTCAAGGAGACACACAGCTTTGATGAATCTCCCAGGGATTCTCTGTTGTCCAGGAGCTCTGTTTCATTAGATTCATTTCTATCCCTAGCATTACCAAGCACTAACCAGACCACTGAAGACCCTGTGGTCTTCGTAGACACCTCATCATCAACTGTGGTCAAAGATTTGGTGCCCTCTCAGTCCATCACCTCAGACACTAAACGAACCAGCCGTTCAGTTTCTGTTCAGATGTCTTCTTCTCTCTCTTCCCACATTGTCCACAGAAAGGACATTCCCTATGTGACTGACTCAAAACCCACTCCTCTCCCTAGTGCTTTCTCTTTGGACACCTCCAGTCCCCTTCGTGCCGTCCAGTCATGGACTGACCTGCAGATTCAGAGAAGAAATCAGAAACTACCTGAGCGTGCTCTAACTCTCCCACATGAAGCTGATATTCCTGAAGGCAGAGCAGGAAAAGCACAAAGATCCAGGATGGTCTACTCCTCATCTCCATCGTTTCCTCTGCTGCCTAATCACAGCCGGCTGCAGGACCGTCTTCCCGGGATTGCTACAAATTACCGGACAGTATCAGTCTCTGTGGACACAGGTCTGGGGCCTGACAAGGAGGAGGAGATGTACAGGAAGGGAAATGGTAAAAGCCACTTATGGGAGGGCAACCGGTCAGTCAGCGTGGCCTGCTGCTGCTCTTGTGATCACCAGAGTCATTACTGTGCTGACGGAAGTTACAGAAAACAGCACGTATTGGAAAACGGTCCAGTAAGTAATGGTGCACTTGCATAACAGGATGTTAGTATTTGAGTTGGTTTAACTGATGTCACAACGATTGCCAAAAAAAAAACAAAAAACATTACCATCAATCACAAGGAAAACAGCAGCTGTAGACATAAAAAAAGTCATATTTATACTTTAATACCAAATATTATTGTGACAAATATTTCACGTAAAATGATACCTTAATGCACGGCATGACAAAAAGGCTGAAAGCAGTTCACGTTCAACCACAGCTCTAGAGTTTCGTACTGACCAATCAGGTTCAGGAGTGCCCAGTGACCTATGAAAAGCCCATGTTTAGTCACGATTTTTTTGCTTTTTTATTCAAAGCCTGCTGCATATTTGTTGTCATGGTACCATAGTTCTTGAGACGTGGCCCTTTCATAGCCGATGGCGCATTAACATATGAATGTCCGCGCTGAGGTGTAGAGCTTGTGAAGCTCTCTCCTCATTTTGTTCAACATTTATAATTGACCTCCTTATGTTAATTGAACTTATACAATGGTGTAAAAGAGACAAAGGCTCAACTGTTACACATGTGCTCCTCAGTACTCTTTAGGCGACCTGGAGGAGATGATGCTGTGGCTGCAGCAGTACTGCTCCGTGCACAGCAACATGGAGGAGGAGCTCTCCGAGAACAGGGCCTCCGTTTACACTTCTCTCTCCGATCTGGACAGGTACGCCGCATTCACTGACAGAAACACACGTCCGTCTTAGGAAAACCAAAATGTAAAACCACTCTGTGTGTACTGTAAGATAAAGGGCAAGCCATTCTTGAAGTAACAAGCTGCTCATAAATAAAGATGGCAGCAAACCACTAGGGGGCGACTCTTATAGCTGCACATTAACATATGGTCATTTGAATTAAAAAAAACATGTGCATGATAGAAAATGTGCATTTCCCAATAGAAAATTATGATGATCTACTGTATATGATATTGGTATATATTAATTTATACTAGTGGCAGGGGAGGGTACTGCAGGTTAAATAAAAAGAACTATACATGTTTAATCCTTTCTTTTTGTCGATTTATTTTAACTAGTAAGAGCACAGATCTGTACCAAATTGTTGTTTCTGTTGTTGGTGAGCAGGGAGAAGATAGAGGACCTGGAGGCACTGAGACAAGCAGTGAAACTGGAGGCTGTTGAGCTGGAGACGCAACTCAAGCAACTGGCACATCACTGTGACGAAAGCTTAAAAATGGTAACGACACAAAGGTTACAAACATGTACACGTGAAGTGAAAGAAGGGCAGAGAAGAAGCGTGAGCTGTATGTGACCAAAACATACTTGACAAAGCTGAAGTTAGGGAAACAGCAGAAATTAAAATTTTAAAAATGAATTAAATGGTCAAAGAAAGTGAAGATAAAAAACAGGTAAGGATGAAACAGTTCCTTAACAAATGGGGGGAAAGCTCTAAAAGTTAACTCACCAGCAACAACATCAGCACGCAGGAGGGCAGTGAGATAACGAGACACGGGTGGAACACATCGGGTTAATTACAAAGAAGAAACTGACAGGTAGAAAGGGCAGAGCAGACCTGAGCTGAATTGGAGTGTTTTCGTGGTTGTGCTTTCTAAAAAAAATAAAAATGATTCTTGTGTTTTTGTAGAAGATGCGCAGACTTCTGGATGAGCAGTCGCTCTTGTGCACGCAGCTCAGAGTGTCCAAACCTGCGGCATTGGACGTGTCATCATCAAAGTCCACTCCAAGCCGGACAGTAGCCACCCAGTGCTCCCTGCTGCCCAGGACGGCCTCGGCTGACATGCAAAGTTACTAGTCTGACCACAAATCATAAATAATTATCTTTGTGAATCAGGAACCATCCGGAAACAAATCTGACTCACATTCAAATACTCTTTGTGAAAAACAACCGACTACAACAACATTTACCAACAATTTAACTGACTTTGCATCTCATGTTTTTATGGACCTGTTAAAATGTGAATTCTGCAGGATTTAGCACCACTTTGTAGAGGGTTTATAGCAAAACCAGAAATAAATAAAACAAATTGATGTCAAAGTTCCGACTGTCATTTATTGACATGTTAATACACAGTGAGTTTTGCATAACTAATGCCTGTGAAATAATCATGAAACAAAATCTTTGTTCTTTACAAGAGTTTCTTAATGGATCTTAAAAACATCCTCAGCACTTTAGCAGCCAAAAAAGAGTGGGGGCCGAGTGGGGAGGGGGACTTTAACAATAGGTCCAGTGAAGAAGAGCATGCACTTCAAAGTGAAGTGTGAGATGTGAATGAGCAGAGAACAGCTCCTCGTCCAGGCTTCAAAAGCTGCAGGTTGTTTGGAGAGAAACACAAGGGTTTTATTTGTCAGAGCCAGAGGTTATGAATGTGTCAGGAAACAGTGTTTGGGTCAGTTCACCTCTACGG